AAGGATGTTTAGTTAATACGTGTTGCTGTGGTTTGGTGTACGGTTACATAAAGGCAAATTATTTCATGAACGTATACAAAAATAGCTGCTTCATCCTTTCATTTCTTCCCAGGAAACCTTCAATACTTACCCAGGCTGAAAGAGCTAAAAACAGGAAATAGAGACTTCCTGAATATGCAACACTTCTCATTCCCCTGGACATGGAGATTCAGTTGCTCTTTGAGGACCTTTGCAAAATTGGAGGTGGAGTTCTTTTCACAACCTTTCAAAAATAAATGCATCTGGTCACATTCAGATTGATCTAATTGAGTTTCTGTGATTCTAATAAATCAATTTGAGCAACTCAAGTATTTCTACTCACATATCTCATCATAAGGTGCCACAGCATTAGAAACATGCAGATGATTACTGTTATCTTTGTTTGATAAAAACCTCCATCTGTGAACAGATGTAATGAACTTCATCAGGTCCAGGCTCTGCGGCTCTCTGACTGACTGCAGCCTGATGTTATGAGACTTATACACAATATTTTCACTAAAATACTGAAAATTAGATATTTGTTTTAAATGCATATGTATGTCTTGTTATTTGTGCTCTCTAATGTTGTTGTGTTCTGTTTGTTCCTGACCTGGGGTTTATATTATCTGGTATCATGTAGTGCCCCACCCTCACCATTACCCACACATACCTAACCCTAAACCTACTGTAACCTTAACTCAGTTCACACCTTAGTCCTTAACTAAACCGTCATTCCAAGAAGAGAACTTCTCCTCATGGGGATGAGTCATTGGTCCTCATAAGTACTTATAAGTCATCAAAATGTAGCACGTTCCTCTGAAATTGTCTCCATCAGTTAACACAAACATGGCCACACATACACACGCAAACACACAAACCTATCTTACTATCTTTGCAGGGCCTTTCCACTGACCTTCATTAATTTCTATGTACTAACTCAAAACCCTTACAATTATGGGGTTCATATCTAACCATAACCCCAAATTAAATTAAATTCACATCTTAGTCCTAAACATGACCCCTGACAAAAAAAAAAAAGAAACAATTCCCCACATTGGGTCCAGGCACTGGCCCCACAAGGGGCAGCTAGTCCCCACAACGGGCTATTTTCCCTGAAAATGGGCCCCACAATGTATTAAAAACAAGAGCACACACTCTCTCACACACAGCTATTGTAAAACGATAGCTTCCAATAGATAAAGCTATAAAACCTTCATTTTATGCATAGCTAACAGTTTAATACCTACTCACTGGAATCTGTGAAGCAGACACCTTGAGGCTTAATTTTTTTCCTTTTTGATAAAGCTTATAGTTAGAGTGGCTCAAGTCATCCTGAACTATCTCTATAGTTATGCTGCTGTAAGCTTAGAGTTCTGGAGGACATAGAAACCACTTCTCCTCATTCTGCTCCATTCTATCTACAGTATATTCTCCAATTCTGCAATATTTGCAATCTCAAACATTGTGCTCTCTATGCCTTTTCTCTTCATTGTAGCTTTTTCTGGTCTGGTCCTGTTGGCCTGCAATGCCATCCCAGATGGAACCATCAAGTGCAGTTAACAAACTCTGCTATACATAATAGATTAGGGCCTTTTTTTGTGCTTAGTCCAACTTCTTTCCTAGATATAGCTATTGGCTCAGCTTTTACTGTATATGTGTTTCTTTCCTAGACACAACCACCTTTGAAGCTAATTTGCTGCTACCTTGTTGAACATACAGAGATTTCTTGGATAGGCGCTTCTAACACAATGCAAGCAACTGCATGTTCTCACTGCATACTCCTCCTGGAGGAGCAAATTTTCCGAAGTCATTGACTGGATGCAATCGGTTGGTTTTCATTAGATAGAAAACTGAATTGAAAAGGAGGTTGCATGAAAATCTGTTGGATAAACAGATGAACTGAGAAGATATATGTTCTAATCTAGATTTAATCCTGGATATATGAAACTAGAAGGAGACAAAGCTCAGAGTGGACACCAGTGACTCCTGCCCTTCTCATAACTGAACCCACAGAAAGCAGCAATAATATCTGTGTGATAAAGAAAACAGGTTATACGCTTGTGCATCAATAAGCCTTGCTTGAGATAAGCTTATGCTGCTGGTATGCAAATACAAAATATTTTTTTTTTTTCCATTTATCTGTATTTATAAGTATGTATCTTTGGTTTATAATATGATTATCATTACAGTAGAGTTCTGGGGGGCAATACCCTGGGTAATGATGTTAAAGTTTATCTTGATCTAACAGCAAATAACAGTTAAAATTGCTCCATTAGGAGAAATGATTAACAGTTTAATCTACAGAAATACATTTACTGGAAGAACTTTCTCCATTTTCGCTATCTAATCTGGTGTAGAAAGGAGCACATGGCTTACTATAGGTTTGATACGAAGCCTTGAAGCAAAGCCAAGAGAACATACAGAGACCTTGATCACTCTATAAACATAAGATAAAGTCTTTACTTTAAAATCTACAGCTGCTGCAAAAGGCTGATGCTTGTCTATTAAGAGGTTCATCATAAAAGAGAGCATGTCACTCCGGTCCTGGACTTCCCTCATTGGGTGCTAAGTTACTATGGCTCATTTTCAAATCCTTTTGTTTGTCTTCAGGTTTTTGCCCAGCGTTACATAATAGTGCTTATCCACCGTTATGTTCCTGCTCAGCAACTCACGTCCTCTGACCCGCTGCTCCTGGTCCTCTCAGTTTAAAAAGAGAGTTTAGAGGCCTATAATAATAAAACACGTCTGAAAACATTTTTACACATTGGCCTTCAAATCAACCTACTGAGACTTCATTTTTTTTTTTATACAGTGTCCTGTCTGGCAATGTGGTTATAAGAATAATTGTCTTGATGCCAAAAAGAGCCCAACAGATTTTACTTTCACAAGTGGAGCAATACGGCAATTGCCATATTGCTCCACTTGTTTCATACATATAAATTGCTTTATTATAATTATGCAGGGAGTTTTACAGTTTATATGGACACTGCAATGTAAGTAGAGCAGAAAAACAGAAGAAGAAAAGGGAAAAAAGAGAAGAAAAAAGAGAGAAGATGAAAGAAAGAAGAGATAGAAAGGAAACAATGACAAAACATTTTCAGTCTGCTTCATCACCTGTAACGAGATGAAAAAAGAACAGCACAACCGAAAGACATGGTACGAGATATACAATAAAGCAACACCTTGAAACTATCGCTGAAGTAATATTATTAAGTCTGACATGTACTCTGTGTTACCTGAAGATATGAATGTAGGGTTTCTGTATGGAAGTGAGACTTCATTTTTTTTATTATTTCCCTTATTTTTGGTTTATTTTCTTTTATTGCTATTGATTTCATCTGTTTTATTGCCATTTTTTTATTCCACTCATATTTTGCATACTCAGCTTTATTACCTAATTTTAATGCTTTCTTGTTGTTCATTACTATCCATTACTGTAAAAATGTCGATAGCTGTAAATTGGTTATTTATTCTCGAGGTTCACAGTATTTATATTGTCAAAATACTTTACAGTACAGTATTTCATCTGCTTATTTTTTAATTCTTTACTACTATTTTATTCTTATACACTTTCCTAATGTCCACATTTTTGTGACCATTTTTTAATAATCTTTTTTCTATAAACACCAGAATTAAAGGTAAAGTAAAGGTATTTTCTATTCTATTCTATTCTGTTCTATTCCATTGTTTTATCTTTGATGAACAGCACTTTGTCTGTTTTGGCTGGCGTTAAAGCTCTTTATGAATAAACTTGTTCTCAATGATAATTAAATATTATTTTGAACATAACTTGCATCGTATTTCAGATGATCAGTGACTCTGACTCCATCTTCAGCAACATGAAGGCACATGGATCTGGCTTAGTCCATGACTCCAGAACCTGGTTTACAGCTGAAATAGGTCTCAGTTTGTTAAGAGCCAATTCTGGGGATAACAGAACACTTTAACAATGAATGTGAGAAATCATAACTTCTGTTTGACCAATTTCTTAAACCAAAATATCATTGGTGATTGGTGGATTTTATTTTTTTAATCCCAAGTCGAACCAAGTTGGAAACGAAGACTTAAAGAAGCATAGCAACATTTTCTAATGATAGTAATGATACAAGGCTATAAGGCTACAGCATACAGTTGCATCAACAATAAACTAGTGAGGTGTCACTCTGCTCATAATACAATGGTTTAGATATAAAGGGTCAAATAAAAGGCTATTTTAAAGATAATTTTCAGCTTAAATGTACAACAATTCTCTTTAAACCAATATTAAAGAGAGACTGAATCCCAGGATAAAAAGTAATCTAAATCAATTAACTGTAAGTTAAGAGAAGTTAAGAGAAGTGCTTAGAAAATGTTGATTAGAGGCTGTTTAGGGATTTAGTTGATCTGCTTTTGTCTGCTAAATCAGTGATTCTATGATCAACCTCATTTCCTCTTGAAGAAAACTGCAGACCTGCATTTAGCCTGATTCGATATGCCTGGCTTGGCATAGCAGCCCCTGTTGAGCCTGGCTTGGTCTTTGTGAAATGGATGAGGCAATAATTCACTGTTCATGCAAAGTCACACCAGCCTTATCTCTTATCCTGGGTTTTCTGAATATAGGTTTTTGTGAAATAGGCCTCTAAATGGAAAGAAGATGGACTCTCATGTGCTGAAGAGAAATGACACAAAATACCACAAGAATTCAGCTTGCGGGCATGTTTAGGAGAGCGTCTCTACTCCAATGATGGGAGGATGGTGACCAGCAAAGGAAAAGTCAGGGTTTGACTTTTACTTTTCAGTGTTTTTTTAATTTTCATTTTTTCACCTTATTCTGATTGTACTTCAGACACAACTACAGTGGGAGCAATGGAGATGATCAAAATGTATTTATTTCCTTTCTAAATATTTAAAAGTACAGCAATTCAAAATAAATAATGTCAGAAATGAAACAGAATCCAAAGACTCCAGTCATGAAGTTATTCTGTGAATCACTGATTGTTATATGTTATTAGCTATATTGTTTTAACCTGATTATAATGATTTTGGCACAAAAGTACAACAGCACAAAGCTCTTTTATTGAGGATCTAATGACTCTTTTTAAGGATGAAGAAGAGACATTATGGTTTAATGCTGCATTGAGTTCATGTCTGCCACCCAGACTCAGGAAAACTGGCTGTTCAGAAGCACTTGCGGTGGACGATGCTCGGACCGGACTCGTCATACTCCTGCTTGGTGATCCACATGTTCTGGAATGTGGACAGGGAAGCCAGGATGGAGCCACCGATCCAAACAGAGTACTTCCTCTCTGGGGGAGCAGCAACCTGGAAAACAGGTGATGACATGTTTTCACAAGAGGCGTAATTAAGTGTAATACAGAATCAAATAATATAAATAAGTTGTGTACCTTGATTTTTACTGAGTGTGGGCTCAGGGAAACCATCTCCTTTTGCATTCTGTCTGCCAAACCAGGAAACATGGTGGTTCCTCCAGACAGGACGATGTTTGCGTACAGACTCGTACGGATGTCGATGTCACACCTCAAGATGCTGCTGTAGGTTGTGGTATGAATCCCTTCTGACTCCATCCCTGAAACAGAGGAGTACATTTAAAGCTGCCATCAGGGTTTATTGACACAAACATGCAGAGGTCTGAGTTCAGGAGAATAGGAAGGTGATTCAGGACGATCAGCAGAAAAACCACATTTGGTTTTGTTTATTCAGAAATGTGTTTAGATCAACGATTCCAGAGTTTATCACCAACCGATGAGAGCGGGCTGGAAGAGGGCCTCAGGGCAGCGGAACCTCTCGTTACCGATGGTGATGATTTGACCATCAGGAAGCTCATAAGTTTTCTCCAGAGCAGAAGACCACACTGCCGTCTTCATCTCTTGGTCATAGTCCAAGGCCACATAGCAGAGCTTCTCCTTCAAATCTCGAGCGATTTCCTTCTCCGCTGAAGTTTAGAAACATCCATAGAAAACAGGAGGATCAGGAGATGCATCGCTACAAATATTGGCAGAGATGAAGCTCCCTTTATGACTCACCTGTTGTGTTACAATGATGACCCCTTTCTGTGAGGAGCGTGACCAGGTAATCTGTCAGATCCCGTCCAGCCAGATTTAGTCGGAACATCCCATGGGGCAGAGCGTAGCCCTCGTAGATCGGTACAGCGTGAGAGACGCCGTCACCAGAGTCAAGAACAATGCCTGAATAGAGAAAACAGGAAGCTGTGGGAACCTTCCAGATTCAGACCTTCTGACCATGAAAGCACTGAAACTTCACAGCAGAACTAAGTGTTTCTGGCTTTGATGGTTTGCCGTCACAGACCTGTAGTACGACCTGAAGAGTAGAGAGACAGGACAGCCTGAATGGACACATACATGGCTGGAGTGTTGAACGTCTCAAACATGATCTGGAGCAAGGAGAAAGGATAAAGTCTAAATTAAAATCCCTCCCCATCTTTAAAGGGGCCAGGTTATGTACCACTATAAAATAGACCAAAAACCAGATTATCATATTGAAACAGAGCAAGGCTTTTGTCCTGTTTTGTTTATTTATTCGGTTTTGAGCCTTATCATTTTTGCAAAAGGTGAAATCATCAAACATCACTATTGTATAGCATCTTCATCTGCTGGCAGTACTTTTTCTCTTTTTTCCCTGCCTCCTTTGGGGAAAGTACTTCCTGGTTTACCATTATTCTCAATATCGTACTTCTGGTCATGTCATCTTATTAGACTAGACTCTACGGAAACCGCGGCAGACCAAACCAGATGAAAGTGTGCATTCAGCTCGGCAAAGAACTCATGTTCTTCCTCAACAATGAAGTCCTCAGACATTTTTCTTTCGTTGTTTCTTTTTTTGCACAGGTAAACAGCACATTTCTTCTTCTATGCTTGCATTATCAAGAGCAGACGCTGAATGCGCACTTTCATCTGGTTTGGTCTGCTGCAGTTTCCGTAGAGTCGTGAACTCGCATGCGCGCGCTTTTAGGAAATCCTATACACTACTGTTTATGCTCTAAAAACATTCTAAATGACTTCGTTTCGAGTAAATTATGGACGCTACCCACTCAGGACACTTGGAATACATTGGACGAGCCGTATGGAGGAATATTGACACGTTTTTTGTGGACTTTTATGGACCTTTCTGCCTCGGGCGCCATAGACCTCCATTATTTGAATGTCAGCAGACAGCAAGAAGCCTCCCAGATCTCCAGATGCATTTGAGATATCAAAAAAGTACTCCAGAGTGTTGTTCAGCATGGGGGTGAGTAGAAAATGAAGGCTAATCATGTTTTGGGTGTACTATTCCTTTAAGTGCACAAACACTGGAGAAAAACAAGGCATAAGATAAAGAAAACATTTTTATAGTTGAACAGAGAGATTTAATTTATTTCAAAAAGTCTTTAAATGTTACCAGGGGGAGCTGTTGATGTAGACATTCGCAAAGTCATAATACATGAATAGGCCATTACAAATGTAGTTTTTCAAACATGTTCTTTGTTTGTTTTTTTCTTTCAAAAACATCAGTAAGTTTTCTCAGCATCAGGTTAGCATCAGTTTTCTCTAAATGTAATTTTCTTCCAGTTGTTTTAAGGGAGAGAGAACAGACAGTGGACAATGGCAAGCACTTATCTTCATGTCTTTCTTACTTTGACGCTTGGGCCAAGGCTGGTTAAATGGATTCCTTTGTTAAAGGTACACAATCACATTGTTTGGCATTTTTTGAATGTATATATTCCTAACTCCCTTTGATTTTTCAGAAAAGTTACGGGATCCTGCTGGTGTAGTGTTTGTTTTTTTAGTCTTTTTAGGTAATTTGTTCGTAAATGTGTGACATGCGACCGGGAATATATCACGGCAAAAGTGTTGAACTCCCAAAAAAAGAAACGCCCAAGATCAGGTGGTAAAAAGGCACTAAGAGATGTTTGATTTCAACAGGGATAAAATTAGAGTTGTGCTTATATTGCTGCTAAGTTGACACATTAGTACATGTTCTTACTAATAGTGGTACTGGTGTTAGCAATGCCTTCAAAGCCTATAATCCAAGCAGTTTTTTTTTTCTGCTAGGCATTACAGCACAGTCAGCATGGTTGGCCACCATCTGGATTTCTGGTAGTTCAGCAGTACTTCCAATAGGTGGCGCCACATCTGTTTATTTAAGCTCATTGTACCCCACGCAGGAAAAGGCGGATCAAAGCATCATCAGGATGGATAATTTGAGTTTATGGCCTTATTTGATCATAAATCAGCTGGATTCTGGTCTTTATGGTGCTGGCTTTATACCTTTAAGGTGACTATGCATCTTGAAGGAATAAAGGGATATTTATATTGTGTCAGGTTATATTGAGATTATATTTAATAATGTAAAACAGCAAATATGATTTAGCTGAACCTCCTTCAGATGATGTTAATTGGTTCTTGGTAAATAAATTGAACCAAAATCTCACAGTGCAGAGAAGCTTGTGTTATTGGATTAATCACACAAGTCCTGTTTTGAGTGGAGAGACCCAGAGCAGCTAGAGATGTCGGTTAGATCCTTAGGATGAGGTCTAGAGGGTCAGAACTCACCCTGGCCATCTGCTCCCTGTTAAGATTGGGGTTAAATGGAGCCTCAGTCAGCAGGACCGGATGTTCCTCAGGAGCAACACGGAGCTCATTGTAGAAGGTGTGGTGCCAGATCTGAAAAAGTTTAACAAACACTTAGTTTGAATAGATGAATCAGGTTCTAGAAAGAGATAATCTGTAAAGCTATGAGTTTTTGTTAAAGGCTTTCTCCACACAGACATACCCTCTCCATGTCGTCCCAGTTGTTAATGATCCCATGCTCGATTGGGTACCTCAGGGTCAGGAGGCCTCTCTTCACCTGGGCCTCGTCTCCCACGTAGCATTCTTTCTGTCCCATGCCCACCATCACTCCCTGCAGAAACCACAGCCTCAGATTGTCTGTCCAGCCCTCAGTGCTGACAGGAGCCTTTCATTCATCTCTGTGTTCCTACTTGGTGTCTGGGTCGGCCAACGATGGATGGGAAGACAGCCCGAGGAGCATCGTCCCCAGCGAATCCGGCCTTGCACATTCCAGAGCCATTGTCAATAACAAGTCCAGCAATGTCGTCATCCATTTCTGGGGGGGAAATTTACCAAAACTCCATATTTTATCCTTAAGAGCAATGATTTTAACTGCATTTCCGAATTGTTTGATAGTTATAGAATAAGTTAAAATAAGTTTATAGCACTACTGGTTAATTCTCAGCTTTATTGTACAATAATGTTCTGCAATACCTTTTACAGACTTGGATGTTTGAGAAAATATTGTCATCAAATATTACTTAAAAAGAATATTAAGGCACCAATATAATTCAGATTTTAATGCCTCTATCTACCTTCAGGCTCAGAAATAAATATGTTCTTTTTTTGAAATTTCACCATGTAATAATTGCTAGAATTATGGATATCCAGTATTTTAAGGTAAAGTTTTATTATGAAACTGGGCCTCTGCAGAAATATCATATTTATTATCTGGCCCTGTTTCCTTAACCAGGCTTTAACAAATAGGAAACAAGTATCAACTAATTTCAGTGCATCAGAATTAAAGTGGTTTCTTTGGAATGGAAACTGAAATCTTTATGAGCAACTAAGAAATAGACAGTCTAGATTTAAAGGCAGTTTGTTGATTTTGTTTTGTATTTAAAACAAATCCATCCAAAAATATCTGTAATGTTTGTGTTTTACACAACATGCAGGCAGGAGTCATTACTAGTTAAATATACCAGATACCCAGCGCTAAACCTAAACTAAATGCACATCTTTGTCCAGTGGTTGGTCCCCACATGTACCTATAAGTCCCCAAAATCTAGTATATCTGCATAATTGTCCTCACATAGTAACAAAAACATAGCTGCACACACACTCACACACTTTCCCATCTTGCTGTAATTAGTGAGGACCAAATGTTGACTCCCACTCACTTCCAATGATTGTTTACCAAAGCTATTACCAGCATAGCCCTTATAGATGGATACCAGAGCATACCTGACCCTGACCCTAATCTAAATCCAATTCACACCTTAGCCCTTAATCTAACTGTTAGCAAAATCATGAAGACCAGGAAGATGTCCTCCTTTAGAGATAACTGGACCTCACTTTCCAGGTAAATTAATAAAAATGGAAACAAAAACCTGCCTCAAACCTTAATGTAAACCTTCAACTGTCCTCATAAAAACTGAACAAAACTGGGATTCCATGAAGGATTCAGCGCTTCGTCATACTTTATAAATCAAGAAAAAATGCTGTCAGCTTATATAAATTCAAAGTTTATGTTTTACTTTTTCACATACTTGCATAACTTTCTGTTATGACTAATTGAGCAGATAGTGTAAAATAGTGAATTTAAATAACTCCTTTACATTCCTAAATATTAAAGTTGAACACAGAGATAAGACAACAATATTACAATAATAATGATCATTATTAACAAATAAACCTACAGTAAAGGCAGGTAAGTGTCTTACCTGCTGCAGGTGAGCTCTGAGTGGCTGAAGTCCTTCAGTCTGACCTGTTTTTATGTTACCTGCTGACCTTCAGAAACCCTGCAGGACGATGGGGCTTCACTAACACTGAAGTCCTGATTTGGTCTTTGCAGCATGCTGCGGGATTAAAAAGGATATATATGGGCATCAATGTTGTAGTGGAGAAACGTATCAGGAAAGAAAAAAAGCTGATACAAGTTAGACTTTAACCTGTGGACAGGTAACTGCAGGTCAGATCATCATCTGGTGCTGATTTATATTCATTCACTCCTGAGATAAGGCAATCTTATCTTATCGCTGTGTTATTATGTCGATTAATGCAACAGTTTTATAATAAAACATTCATCGAGAGAACTGATATGTTAATAAATGATTTCTTGTTTACCATAAATGGTCAAATATCTCAAGGTTAAACATCATGGAGTCAGAAATCACTGCTCGTAAACAGTGATCATAAACATCTTATCTGAGAAGCTGTGATTATCAACATGAAGTTGAAGCTGAGACGTGAAATTATGTCTTAGGAAAAAAAAACCTAACTATGGGACACATCACAGGGGAAGCGCAATTGGAAAGATATTACAGTTATTGCTAAAATCAAGCACCATCACACATTAGGCTTGTAACAAAGTGTTTATTCACCTCCCGTTACTTTGATGCCCCTCGATAAAATCCAGCTGTTTTCAGTGGTTATTGGATTGAGAACATAGAAGTAAAAAGAGTCCAGCTCAGTAAGTTTATTCCGAGTAATAATGTAGATGTTCTGTTTTCATCCTTAGAGGTTTTTAGAGAACAAAAAGCAGAATTAAGTCTTTATTTTTACATCTCTTATATAAGCCATTATTACCTTGATTTTAATTGGTTTTATTCACTGAATATTTAATTATTATTTTCTTATCTCTGTGACTAATTCTTGATTCTGTATTTTGTGCGACTTGTTAGGACTCCAGTCTGTGTGGTCTGTGTTTTTGTGTGTTTGTCTTCCGTTCTCCACCATGCGGCGCCTGGTTCTGATTCTCCTCCTCACACACCTGCAAGGGGTAACCAGAGGTTTGGATCCACTTTTTTCCGAGGAAACGTTTGAGCTTCACACTGAGCAAGGGATTCATCTGCACAACAGTCCGTTCAAGTACCGCAGAAAATCTGAGTGGCAGTCAGTCTTTCTCCTTTCATCTACAAGCAACCGCATTCTGGGTGACCCTGTCCGTCCTCCACTGTGTGAGACAAACACCGGAACACATTCCTCACCTACTGGACTCTAAGAGTCAACCACTTTTCTGGAAACGTGAGTCTGCAAACCATTTCTCCTCTTCAAGTTCGAGAATCAATTTTCCCACTGAACCTGAACTAACCGCAGTGTCTTCCCCTCACCTTTCAGTTCCGGTTGAGCAGTGTTCAGAGCAACACTGGAATTTCCACAAGCTTCTCAATGAACCTGTAAAACTTTTTCTCTGGTCTCTCTGTAATGGTTTCTCTGCATTTGGGTCTGATTTTTAGTTAAATCATGACACCACTTGCTTTGATTTATGGAGTCTCTCAGTTCTCATGTTCAAGTTTTTCTGCTCTGGTCAGAATAAGTCAATCTTTTGTTCCCCTAAGTAACACAGCACATTACCCTTTACTGTAGCATGATGGTGGCAGCATCATGCTTTGGAGATTCTTTTCTTCAGCATTGATAGGGAAGCTGCTCAGAGTTTATTGGGTGCTAAATCCAGACCAGTCCAGGAAGCCAACCTGACAAATAGGAGGCTCACCTTCCAGCAGGAAAACCACTCTGAGATCCAAATGTCCACCACACCATACAGACAAGAGAATATACATGTAATACATATTTATGTTGAAATAATGTACTGTGGTTGTTTTTATGCCCTTATAATATTAATATTCTGCTGGTAGGCGAAGCTGAAGGAAATGCTGCAGCAGGAAGGAGAGTCTGTAAGAAATGATCAGTTTGGCTTTTTAAACTCAGCAGGTTTACTGCTGTCTGATAAGCTCCTTCTGAGGAATATAAATGTGATATAGCATATTAAAATAAACAACCATTCATACAAATATATGAATAGCAATATTTTATTTTATTTCCTTTTTTTTTTACAGTGTCCTGTCTGGCAATGTGGCAATAAGAATAATTGTCTTGATGCCAAAAAGAGCCCAACAGATTTTACTTTCACAAGTGTAGCAGTATGGCAATTGCCATATTGCTCCACTTGTTTCATGCATATAAATTGCTTTATTATAATTATGCAGGGAGCTTTACAGTTTATATGGACACTGCAATGTAAATAGAGCAGAAAAACAGAAGAAAAGGAAAAAAGAGAAAAAAAGAGAAAAGATGAAAAAAAGAAGAGATAGAAAGGAGACAATGACAAAACATTGTCAGTCTGCTTCATCACCTGTAACGAGATGAAAAAAGAACAGCACAACCAAGAGACATGGTACAAGACATACAATAAAGCAACACCTTGAAACTATCGCTAAAGTAATATTATTAAGTCTGACATGTACTCTGTGTTACCTGAAGATACGGATGTGGGGTTTCTGTATGGAAGTGAATCTCTGAGTACCTGGAACCAAGCACCTGTAATTTTTATTTTATTTTATTTCCATATTTAAACCAAGCCCTGGATGCAGAGACACACTCTGACCAGCAGGAGGATTAATGTTCACCCTCTGAGTCCAGCAGAGACTGAGAAACTGAACAAAGGTCTTTCCTTATCAACTCACCTACAGGAACCTGCAGCAGGTAAGAGTCAGAATGGATCCTCTTATGTTTTTGATTTTTGACAACAGTTTTAACATTTATACAGGAGATTCATTTAGTAAAGACTGGATCCTCTTTCTGGTCGCGTTTCCGGTTAAATGGAGGCTCTAAGAACTTATCGTTAATTAGTTTATTTTCCTATTGTTGTTAATAGACAACCTATTCATGGGTATACTGTAGATACCGTCGTGCCCCTAAACAAGATTTCAAAAAGGAAAGAGCTTTTCATTTAATTATCTTTCTCATTAACATGATTTAAAAACTGAATCATTACTTGACCTGGGTGGGCTCTGAAGATAAATCAAGAAATAGTTTTAGACTAACTTGCTCCTCTCTAAAACTGTTCTTTATAACTGTTCTTGGACCCAGGACAGCTTTAATCATAGCTTCCATGGCTGTAACTTAAACTTCAGGTGTTATTGATCACACACACACACACACACACCCACACACATATCCGTGCTATAGAACTAGCTGTTAGCTTTAATGCCCTGATCCTAAAGGAGCCACTCAGCCTGCTGTTCACTCCGATTAAAATGTGTTAGTTAACCAGTTGTGCCTTTGATTAGCCGACTGCTCTTGGCGTGTCTAGAATGGACATATTGCCAATCAGTACCTGGAGATTATTAAGGCACATCCCATCTTAAAGAACAGGGGTCTTCAATTATGGTCCTCTAGGTCCAGTGTCATTTAGATATGTCTCTGCTCAATAAAGAGGCCAAATAACCTCCTCAGTATGAAGTCAAGTTACCCAGCGTCCTGGTAATGACCTGATTATTAGACTCTGGTGTGATAAAAAAGAGATACGTCAAAAAAGGTTCATAATACTGGAACTCAAGAACTGCAATCAAAGATCCTTAAAATAGAGATTTGAATGATTATTTCTGACCACCCTCATAGGACTGTTAATCCCATCTGGGTTAGAACATCGTGGTAATAAAATAGTTCAGTGATCAGAGACAGATGTCAGGCTTCAAATCCTACGTTTTTGGGTTGGTATTAACGACAAACAAGTGTTCGAAAAGAATGAATAAATATTTCATTTCAGGAATGGAGAAAGAAACGGCTCCACTTATCATAGACAACGGCTCCGGTTTTACCAAAGCTGGATTTTCTGGAGATGATTTCCCCTGTGCCGTCTTCCCATCAGCTGTAGGCCGGCCCAGGAACCAGGTCTGAACAGAAGTTTTTATTATCTCAGGCATTAATTAGTGAAAGCAGATAAATTAGGTGTTTGTGTTCAGATTCTGGCAGTGGGAGGTGGACAGAGGGAAAACTTTGTGGGAAATGAAGCCCTCAGTCACAGAGGAATTCTGAGCATAAAGAATCCCATAGAGCGCGGCATCGTCACCAACTGGGACGACATGGAGAAGGTGAGGCTGTGAAACCTTTTCTAGTGAAACTGATCTATGATCCATCCCGTGTCAAACCTCTCAATGCTCCAACATTTGGTAACACCATGAATTTCAACTTCAGCAAAAGTTATCTTGGTTCCAATGAGAAGCTTCTATGTTGTGTTTTCCAGATCTGGCATCACACCTTCAACCATGAGCTTCATGTTGATCCCTCAAAGCATCCAGTCCTGCTGACTGAGGCTCCTCTCAACCCTAAACCAAACAGGGAAAAGATGACACAAGTAATAAAACCACAGTTTGAATTCGCCCTGCAGAAAATCTGCTCCTACAGCAGATAAAAAAGCTTCTTAACCTGAAACCTGTTTTATGTGGTCCAGATCCTGTTTGAGACCTTCAACTCTCCTGCCATGTATGTGGCCATTCAGCCTGTCCTGTCAATGTATTCCTCTGGTCGTACCACGGGTGAGTAAAGTTACCCTACAGAAACTCTACTTTTCCTTTAAATAAAACCCTTCCAGGGTTTGTGACCATCTTTTTGCCCTAAAGGTATCGTGATGGATTCAGGTGAGGGTGTCAGTCATGCTGTGCCAATCTATGAAGGCTACGCTCTGCCCCAAGCCATCCTCCGCCTCAGTCTGGGTGGTGCAGATCTGACGGATTATCTGACGAAGATCCTGAATAACAGAGGCTACAGCTTAAGTGCCGCTGGTTGGTTAGAAAATATCAGACTAATCAGAGAACAAGGTCATCTAATTAGATGAGAGGATGATGACTCTGAACATTTCAGGTCAGCGTGACATCATGAATGACATCAAGAAGAAGCTCTGCTACGTGGCGTTAGACTTTGAGCAGGAGATGCAGACGGCAACTTCTTCTTCGCTGGAGAAGAGCTACGAGCTTCCTGATGGACAAGTTGTTTCCATTGGTGACGAGAGGTTCCGTTGTCCAGAGGCACTTTTCAAGCCTAATTTAATTGGTTTGTAAGATTTATAACATAATCATAATTTCTACATTGATCCATCTCTTTCACCTTCAAGGATTGGTCTCAGTTGACCTCATCTTTTTCCTTTATCTTCATCTGTCTTGTGTCTCTGAACTCTAAAGTTTGATCTAGCTTCTCCACATTTGTTAGTGACACTGACTGAGATTGTTGTTGTTTTCAGAAATGGAGTCAGCTGGTGTTCATAAAATCATCTACAACAGTGTCATGAAGTGTGACATTGATGTACGTAAGGACCTTTACGGCAGCATCGTGCTGTCTGGAGGTTCCACCTTGTTCCCTGGAATCACTGACCGCCTGCAGAAGGAGATCTCTCACCTTGCCACACCTTCCATGAATATCCAGGTATGTCACTTTATTTTAGCTTTTTAATCACTGATCAATAAAATGAAGCATGGAAAAAGATTAAAACCAAAAACATCAGAAATTCACAGAATTCATTTGGGGATGTAAAAGTATCATGAGTGACACCCATGCAGTACTGTGTTTGGGATGCCGTCTTTGTTAAAAGACCCTCATGTGTAGCTTGTGCTTTTAGGCAATCACCAATCCTTTGCCACATAATTTTCCATTTCTTTCATGCCACCACCATGTTTGACTTTTCATTGAGATTGTTTTTTCTCTCTGTATTTTTGTAAAATGATTATTTTTTTATTTTTTTATTTTTTTGGAGAAGGGGTAGTTTTTATGTTCCTTTTAACACTTAATCATTGCATAATAAAGGCGTTTCTTATCTTATTTCATTTATTTTCAGTTCAAGCCTTTGGCCAAGTCCAGGCTGCAAAAAAATTAAAAAGTAAAGTTATGAGTTTAAATCAATTGCTGGAAGCTTGGTCCTCCCTGTTCAACAATCTGTTGCAATGCTTTAGACTAAAGGGAATCTGGACTGGAGGTATCAGGATTGGAAAAATGAATTAGTAGAGATAAAGGCAAGGCAAATCAATTTTCTGACAAAACTAAACTCACATCAACTGAGCAACTCACATCAAATGCAGCAGTTGTTCTAGTTCTAGTAGGATTATTAATTACTTATCATCACCAAAGCCAAAATGCCCAAAACTTCTCATGTACTTAAATTAAAACGGATTATCTGTAAAGTGATGGTTTTGGTAAAATACGATTTCTATTACTCTACCAGTTTTAACATTGGTTGTCTCTGTTAATGAGACTATCACTGAATCATAGTTGTAGCTTCATGTTTTCCATCTATTCTGTTCTAGATCATCGCTCCCCCTGAGAGACAGTACTCTGTTTGGATCGGTGGCTCCATCCTGGCCTCCCTCTCCTCCTTCCAGCAGATGTGGATCAGCAAACAGGATTATCATGAATCTGGTCCTGCTGTTGTTCACCGCAAATGCTTCTAACCTGTTTCTTTATGCTGGACAATCAACATAGATGCTCTTAATCTCATGAGGACAGACAGAAACAACAAAACTAACAGTTTAAAATATTTCACTTAGCTGTTGTAAACTAAGAGATGATTTCCAAAGGATCCCTAAATCCAGCTATAGATGACGTGCAGCTGACATCAGTGAATCATGTGACAACCGTAACTCCTCCTCCTCAGACGGCAAAACAAACCACTCATATATATCATAGCTGAAAAACGTGGGGAAAAATGTGCTGCAACGTATTTACTGTACATTAGGTGAACAACTGCAGGCTCTTAGTAAATGTATTTTTAAAATGATATATAACTATTTCATTAAAAATGTTGAATTTAGAGTGAAGGAAAACCAGGAGGATAATATTCTCTTTCTCAGTGAGAAGCAGCCAATCACGCTTCAGGGTCTCTATGAAAGCAGCCATAGCCCCGCCCTCTGAGATGGATGTGAGAAGATAGGATTTATAAAAATGTCATGAGTCTGCTCCTCAGGCGACTGTTTAGTTTTTAATTCAATAAATTATTGATAAATTACATTTATTTAATAAAATATTAAATAAACAAATGGAACATTTAAATATTTTTGGCACTTTTAAACAGACTTTTTTTTATTTAGACATTTAGATCTATTTATTTAATGTTATATTTAGTTATTTAATTTAATTTCCCTTTAACCTACTGTAATTGGGGGGTGAAGCTATTAAATGATTTACAGCCTAACATAATTATTTTTAAATCCATTCTTAAAGATACGGGAAGCAAACAACCATGAGATCATAATGAGCCATTATAACTTTCCCTCACACTGGACTGATTCAACCAGAAATAAAGCTTTATATTAGAGGAAAAAACATTTACAAAAATCACACTGGGAGAAAGGAAACAAAAATAAGTAATTAAATTAAATTAAAACAAAAAACACTAAAACGGTGACGGATGGGAGCTTTTTTTTGCAGGTTGGCAGGGACATATAACTAGGCCCAAAATAATTGATACATTCAACACATTTAAATTTCAAACATTTTATTTTATACAATGTATTGTATAAAGTTTTACTTACAGAAAAAAATAATACAGAAATCAGTGAAATCATCATACAATAAAGTGTCATGAACAGACTGTCCAGTATCATCCTGCAATCAGCTTCCATATATAGGAATTATTAGACGCATAAATTTAGAGCTTTAGAGCTAAATAAACCTTTGAGCTCAGCTCTGTATAATCACAGCGTTGGTCTGAATCAGTTTGATTTACCAACTCAACAGTAACTGATCTCGTTATCTGGTTCTACTATCAGCAGTTCTACCTGATCTTCTACAATGTTCAGGTAGATGTTCCAGGAAAGCACTGAAAACACACCTGACCACATATTTAAAGGAAAGATAACATCCTTGTTTTTACTAAAACCTGTTGGTTCACTAGTTCTGAGGATAAAAAAATGATAAATATCAATGCTAATTCAACATGGATTTGGACATGGTTGAGTTTTTCTTCTATGCCCATTTTCTTAGATCTGAGAATGAATACCTTCCTAGTGAAACATGGTATAGAATAACAGATAAAAGAGTGAGACATACGTACACACAATAAACAAGTTCCCTACAAAAGATGAGACTTTCTGAACTAAATAAAAATAAGGAAAACTGATTGAGAACACCTATTGTTAGTTCAAACAAACAAACAACAAAAAAAAGATATATAAAATTTTTCTGTAATCAAAGATTTCAGAAATGTCTATGCTATCTTTACTATTAACCAGTTACCCTTTAAGCAGGCCACAGTTGTAGCAGATTCATTTATCGTTCAGCAGGTCTCTAGTGTAGCAGTTGTCTCGATTGACCTTTATCAAGTCATCAATCTTTTGGATCAGCTCAGTAACTTGTGAGCGGTTCTTTTTATCATAGTTTTCAAACACATGGTATCTTCCTACACAGTCAGAGATCAGCTTCTTACAGGAATCATCACATGCATCTTTAATATAATCTTCAATGGACATGTCATCTTGTTTTAGTTTGTCTCCTTGGGTGAACAGGATGATTGTAAACTTTTTATAATTTTCTCCCAAAACTCTCTCAATAAGTGTGAATGTCTCTCTGTCCTCTGGTGATAATCTGCCGATCGGTATCACCAGCAGGAAGACATGTGGACCTGGATCCAGAAGATCAATGCATTTCATCAGCTCCTCATTGACCTGCTCAGGTGACAAATTGTTGTCAAACAGACCAGGAGTGTCGACAACAGCAAGACGACGACCGTCTACTTCAGTTTCAGCTTTTTGACACTTCATAGTAACTGACTGTGGAGATACTTCAGTTTTAAACTCTCTTCTTCCCAGGATGGTGTTTCCTGATGAGCTCTTACCACTGCCAGTCTTCCCAATCAGAACAATCCGAAGACAATCAGGGCTGCAGGATTCCATAGGACCTGGAAAATTATACCAATAATGAGGATAAGAAACTGAGAACATTTTAATATTTTTTATCATCTAAAAAAATTAATCATCCTTAACCTAAAGCTACAATAACTGCTCTAAAGCGGAGAAAGTGGTCACTGCATTGTAAAGTTTGCCAATGTGGAGCCAAAGTCGAAACTTTGACAATTTTCAAGTGTCATGATTGGGATGGGGGGGGGGGGGGGGGGGGGGGGGGGGTTGTAACTTAAATATATATATATATTAAAGTTACGAACAACCTTTATTTATTTACACTGCAAAAACAAATCTAAAAGTATTTTTGAAGAAAAAAAATAATTAAATGTATTAAAGTATATTGGTCTTCAGTTTATGCAGGTAAATAATAGGATCTGCCAATGGGATGAGTATTTTTATATATTTTGCACAGGGAATGAGATAATGAGTTTTGTTTTTCTTATTCTAAACATCAATCATTTTAATCCATTTGTAAATTGTCTTTTTCTGCTTAAATCAAGGAAACTACATTGAATTCAAGGAAGCTTCAATCAATCCTCTTTACCTCTAACTTTCAAAAAAACACAGAAAAATTTAAAATAGAATCATAAAATGCTAAAGAAGATGTAAAAAAATGCAGGAACTCGCCTCAAACCGTACTTCTGAGCAGGATATAATTTTGGTGTAAATGTTAACTTCTGCTTGCAGTGATCAGTGATTTTCTAAAGTAAATAGAGATTATTGTTGTTAGGGGTGAATGAAATCTGTCCATTTACTATTTTCAGTTAGCTTTCAGGCACCATATGTAAATTACTCAGAAGATAAACATTGATTATTATTGCTCCTCTGAGCTTTGTTACTAATGGTAAATCCCTGACCCACCATGGTTAAGAGAGTCTAGAGTGAGATGATCTTTGTCCAGCAGGAGGTTTGGACATAGGATTGCTTTTAATTATCAAGCAGTGCTTGGGTGGCTGCTTTCCTATATATATATATATATATATATATATATATATATATATATATATATATATATATATATATATATATATATATATATATAAAAACTGTTTTCTCACCCCTCGTGGGGTGGTATGTGTCATCCTCAAGCTCGGGTCCTCTACCAGAGGCCTGGGAGTTTGAGGGTTCTGCGCAGTATCTTAGCTGTTCCTAGGACTGCCCTCTTCTGGACAGAGACTTCTGATGTTTTACCTGGAATCTGCTGTAGCCACTCTCCCAGATTGGGGGTCACAGCCCCCAGTGCTCCAATTACCACTGGCACCACTGCTGCTCTTACTTTCCACATCTTTTCTAGCTCCTCTTTGAGCCCTTGGTATTTCTCAAGCTTCTCGTGTTCTTTCTTCTTGATGTTGCTGTCGCTTGGGATTGCCACATCTATCACTACTGCCTTCTTCTGCTGTTTGTCGATCAACACGATGTCTGGTTGGTTAGCCATCACCTGTTTGTCAGTCTGGATCTTGAAGTCCCATAGGATCTTAGCTCGGTCATTCTCAACTACCTTAGGAGGTGTCTTCCATTTTGACCTTGGGACTTCCAGCCCATACTCATGGCAGATGTTCCTGTACACTATGACAGCTACCTGGTTGTGGCGTTCCATGTATGCACTTCCTGCCTGCATTTTACACCCTGCTGTTATGTGCTGTATTGTTTCAGAGGCATCTTTGCACAGTCTGCATCGGGGGTCCTGCCTGGTGTGGTAGACCCTGGCCTCTATTGATCTTGTACTGAGTGCCTGTTCTTGTGCTGCCATGATTAGTGCCTCTGTGCTGTCATTCAGTCCAGCCTTTTCCAGCCACTGGTAGGATTTTTTTATATCAGCCACTTCTTCTATTTGTCTGTGGTATATGCCGTGCAGTGGCTTGTCCCTCCATGATGGTTCTCCTTCCTCTTTCTTGTCCTCACTTTCGGTTTTCTCCTGCCTGAGGTATTCGCCAAGCCATTTGTCTTTGGGGGCCATCTTTCTGATGTACTCCTGGATCTTAGTTGTTTCATCCTGGACAGTGGTCTTGACACTCACTAGCCCTCGGCCTCCCTCGCTACGCTTGGTATACAGTCTCAGGGTGCTGGATTTGGGGTGGAACCCTCCATGCATTGTGAGGAGCTTTCTCGTCTTGATGGTATATCCTGGTATATCCTGATCATATATATATATATATATATATATATATATATATATATATATATATATATATATATATATATATATATATATATATATATATATATACATATATATATATATATATATATATATATATATATATATATATATATATATATATATATAGGTATATATATAAGGTTTACTCATAACTGTTTAACCAAAGTGTCTGTAATTTGTTTTGACTCTGAGTATTTTCCCATTATTGTAAGTAAGGGGGAACGGACGCTGCCCAGGCAGAACAGGGCAGAATGCTGTGCCATTAGGGCTGTATGATGAACTGTTCTCTCTTTGCAAAGATATGAATAAATGTGATGCCGACTGAGTGAAATCCATCGATCTCTGTTTATTTAACTAGGATGAATAGTTCGTCTACATGAAAAACTCTCTTAACTCTTAACTTAAGTAAGAGTGTTAAGAGTTACAGTGTTTTAGGATCACATTCCAGAAAAGAAGGAGATGGTTTATTTATTCATCATTTTATTTGACAGGGACGCTGCAAAACAATGTGCTGCGCAAACCAGATTTAGCTACAAGCTCATTTCCATGTGCTGTCTCTGGGCACACCAAGAAACAGCAGGATTACATTATACAAAATACTGCAATTAACAAACAAGTTGATTCTCCTTATGATTTTATCAATCATAAATAATATTTGTTTTCAAATGGATGTTAACATGAATTTTAATCATGTAAATTTTATATATTTTATAGCCATCTCATTATTTAATGGTGCATTTTACTATCTTATGATATATTATATCACTGAGTAATGTATTAGATAAACAGATAATTACATTTTACAGCTATGTGTTTCATAAGACATGAATTTATATCTTGGGACATTCGCAATAATGTATTTCATGATATTATCACAATAATTGTGAAAACTATCTTGTGACTCCAAAAATAGGTGTCTGATTTCTGCTGATCTAGAACAATCACTCTCACATGAAAGATGTATAAACCTGCAGCAGCAGGTTTATACAAGTTCAGATAAACATTTTTCTGTCTGCTTCTACACATTATTCCCCCTCTTTATAAGTAGTTTCATTACAAAATCGGACCCTAAGAATAACTTAATGATCCAGGAAGAAGAAAATATGATTGACGAATAGACAGCTCCATCATTTGTTTATAGTTATATAAACAAATAAAGAGACAATCCAGTTTCTGAATCCACCCGTTTCAAAAGTGATCAATCATTAAATGAAACGGCTGCTGAATCAGCCAGTGCGGTTGGTTAACCGGGTCTCAAACTTCACTGCATCTGTAATCAACATGAGCCTTATTCACTTTCTGAAGCGTAAAGAAACTGGACACGCTACAAATAGTCTTAATAATTTGAGGTACATTATTTTAGCTTTCTTTCCACCTGTTCCTGAATTACATATTTATACAGAGCAAACATGATCTAACTAAAGATTAAGTTGTCTCTTCTTTCATGTGGAAGTCTAAACCTTCAGGATAAAACAGACTTTATAACATTTAATCTACCTTAAATTTTTAAATAAAAATACTTTATTGTATAAGCTGAGAAGTCAGAGACTTTCATGCCAAATGCTAATGAAGCAGCTTATGATACATATGTTTCTGTTGTTTTTAGTTTGCTTGAATCATTCAGGAATCTGTACCTTATTAAATTCTGGACTATAAGTTAAAAATGTCAAAAACTGAGCTGTAACTGTTGTTTGTTTTGTTTAAACTTGGCTTTGAGTTAAACCTGAGTTAAATGATTGTTTTCAGTAATTTAACTTATGGAGAAGCAGAATTTAGTTCCTATGCTCCACTGATATGGAACAAACTCCCAGAAGACTGGAAAAGAGCTGAAAGCCTGAGTTATTTAAAGTCAGTGTTAAAAACCCATTACTTTAATGATGACTTTGACTGTTGATTTGTTTGACTTATGTTTTATGTATTTATTTGCTTTTATTCTGCTCTTATTTCTCTTCTATTTGATTATTTAATTCATGTAAAGGACTTTAAATTGTCAATGTACTGAATTATGCTATACAATAAACTTGTTTTGCCTAATTTTCTTAATCTAATTATAATCTTAACCTAATTATCTGTAATCTGTTAGTGCTTGGTATGAAAACAAAGCTTACTGCAATGTTTAAACGATGATTGAAAATGTAATTAAATGTTGATGCAATTCTCTGTCATGATTTTCCTCTTGGCAATATGCTGATAATGTCATGGTTTAAACTCATTCAGTCTCACCTTGAAACCTGCCTTGATTTACAGACTCCAGTGGTTCTGGTCTGTTATGAACCTCTTGTCCTCGTTCACTAGTATGACCTGACTTAGTGCCCTTATCTCCGTCTTTATTATGATAGAAAGAAAAAATACTTATTAATACATTATTGATGTAACAAATCAGTAAAATTTACATTAAGAAAGTAAATATAGCTGAACAGATCACTTTTTAAAATATATAACTTTGCCTAAAAAGTGAGTTACCTGTGTCAGTGGTCTTCATTTCCAGCTGTTTCCCTTCAGCCTGTAGCTGTGAAAGGTTTGCTGTTTGGCCAAATGCTAAAGCTTTAGCTGTATATTTTTCCATCAGTGCTTTGATTGGTTCATCTTCTGGGTTCATTTTCATCTCCTGCAGGTTCTCTTTCAGCTCTTCATGCATTCGCTCCCAGATTTTGTCCTTTTCTTTCTCCAAAGCTTCCCTCTCCCTGACCCTCTCTCGTCTGCACTGCTCCAGCTTCTTCTCAGCCGCCTCTTTTTGTTCTTGTTCAAAACTAACTTGTTTCTGCAAATCATCAACTTTTTGCCGCCAATCTTTCTGCTGTGATTCTTCCTTTCTTTTCCATTTCTTTTCCTCTTCATCCAGTTCTTTCTTAATCTTTTCAAACTCCTTCTTCAATTTGTCTTTCTCCTTGAGCAGTTGAGCTTTCTCCTTCAATTCCTGTTCAAATTTAGATTGAAGGGCTTTAATTTCTTCACTATATTTTTTATTCTGCTTTTCTTCCCTTTTCTCCAGTTCTTCTGTCTCTTTCCCGAGTTTTTCTCTTGACTCTAAATCATATTTAACCTTCATCCCACTTTTCTGTTTTAGATTCTCCAGTTTCGGTATTAAAGTTCTGTCCATCAAAGCCCTGGTGAACATGTTTGTTGAGAAGGAGCTGGACCCCTTATCACTTATTGTTTCCACCATCTCCATCAGTTCTGATATCTCCTTCTTGTCCTTGATGTTGAGAACAACATATCTATGTTCACAGCTCTGAAGGAGCTCCTGGATGTTTCTATCAGTCTCAATGAACTTAACATCTCCAGCTGTAGGATCTGAGTCCACGGTGAACAGGATCATGGTGAAGTCATTGACTCTAGAGCTGAATGTCTCCTGGATGGTCTTTAACTCTCCCTTGTCTTCATCAGTGAGGGGACCCACAGGTAGGACCAGGATGAAGGCGTGGACACCCTCAGGATCACAGAGGGAGATACACCTGAATGATTCCTCCATCACTTTCTGCTGAGCTTTTCCATACAAGGCAGGCAGCTCCACCAGAGAAACCCAACGTCCACTAACCTCTCCCTGGTTTCTAACACACTCTGATGAGCTGGAGGCTGAATGAAGATCTATCTGACCTAGAATGGCCTTGGCTGCTGAGGTCTTTCCTGATCCTCTCCTCCCAAACAGAACCAGGTTTATTGAGGTTTCAGTAAGTCCATGTTTGAATCTGATGGTGTCTTCTGTGTAGGTCAGACATGTCCCTTTGTTTACATGAACAATATTCTCAATCTCCTTCATCAACAGACTGTGGTCTTCGTCATTCATGTTGTAGCATCTTACTTGAACCAGCCTGAGGAGCTCATTGACAGAAGAACTTATTTCAGTGTCATGTGTTAAAATGACTATTGAATGTCTGAAGGCTTCTTGACCAAACAGACTCAGGATGGACATCAGTGTTTCTCTTTCCTTTTCAGCAAATTCTGAAGGTTTCACCAACAGCAGTAGAACATTTGGTCCAGAAGGACAGAGACTCACACATTTCTTCACATCTTGGATTTTCTCCTTAGACATTTTGGACATGTCGGGAGTTTTTACCACAGTGAATGGTTTTCCGCTCCACTCTCCACAGCAGACCACACAAAGTTTGGCTGGGAAACATTTTTGATAATGAAATTCCTGCCCTCCAAGGATGAAGTTTCCAAGTTTTGCTTTATTTTTCTCACTTTTCCCCAAAAGCACAATTCCAAAACCAGATGCTGGAAAATTAGAGAAAATTAACCAATAAAACAGTCAATCATCATGTTTTTTGTCACTTGTTGGCTACAGGTAACAATAGTCACAGATAGTCACAGGATATTATAAATGATTATAGGCTGACTGTTTCTCAGCATCATAGTTGTTAGGTCTGAATACCACAGTATTGGTTTAATAATATTCATTAATTGTTGTTGTTTTTTTTGTTTTTTACCAGTAATACTGTTAGACGTTGTATGGCAACATCTAGGGGTCAGAGTGGGACATAATCATGGTTTAGAGGAAGTGTTCAATGAGCAGACTGCACCACACCGAGACTACGGTAAAACTGTGTTCTAAGCTCTATCTGAAAAACTGCTCTACAAAAGCAAAGGGAATAGGAGCCTCAGAGGATGTGTAGCTCTATTTGATTACATATAATAAAAAGGAGATAGTTGTTCAAAACATTGAAGTTCATTTCAAATTCTATTTTTTTGGAGATTTTTTTTTTACAAATTTGAATAGGAGCACTGTCATAATTAAGTACTTTTAATTTCCTTCAACCCTTTTCCTTCCTGCTTCTTTTATGGTTGTTGAGCTATGTGGAGACTGGCTTTTTCTGGGGGATGTTGCTTGTTATGTGTGGGCTTTGTCTGGGAGCTTTAGCTTCTACCCAGTGAAAACAAAAAACAAAATGTATAAACTATCCTAAACTGTCAGCCTAGCATTAATAGAAGTGACCTCTAGGCTGTCTTCCAATAGAGTATCATCAATAACTCTAAAATAACTTTTCCTCATAACTATCCCAGGTATTTTTGAGCTCTGAAACCTTTAAAGACAATGAATGCCTTTTTAAGTTCTCAGTCCTCTGAGTCATGGCAACCACAAAACAGGTTTAAATTGGAGGCCAACTGGACTTATAAAAAAATAAATTGCAAAACATTTTGCAATAATTTTGGCTCCATTGGTTTGAACACTCCACACGTCATACAAAACTCCACATACTTTATTTCAAAGTCTGGCATTTGAGTGAAACATTTGTTTCTTTGGATGTAACCTCTTGCAATCCCACATTAAAGGCAGTGAACACAGTCAGGTAATAACAAACACGATGAAACCCTGAAATACAGAAACGCTTTAACACCTAACTAGATTTGTGACCTGTTGGACCTCTGCCTGACAACCACATACTTCAAATACAGTGATAACTTTCACCAGCAGAAACATGGCTGCGCTACGGACTCCCCAGTTTCACCCATGGTTGCCAATCTATATGGACGAAATGGAGAGCAGAGCCCTCAGCACATACAAGGGAACACAACCATCCATGTTGAGATACATGGATGTCACCTGGCTCAAAATCCAAACTCAGGAAATTGGGGCATTCACCAGTCGCATCAACTTAATGGACAGAAACATCAAATGCACTAGGAGACCAAAATATAAAATGCCCCCCTTCCTGGACTGTGCTGCACATTGAGAACACTGGAAGTCTTAATACTGAGGTTTACCAAAAACTTGCATATACAGACCAGTATCTTCACTTTGACTCACGTCACTCACTGGAACATAAACTTTCTGTAATCAGAACTCTGAGAAGCCAGGCCGACAATATTCCCTCAATTACAGAGGAAAAATCAAAGGAAAAAAAAACCTGTCAGGAAATGACTTGAAGCATATCCAAACTGTGCATTTGTTAAGTAAGCCAAAACAAATAGCAGAAAGATCCTCTGCTACATCTTCATACTCTTCATAGCTTACATGCTCTCCGTTGTTCTGTTTTACGATTTTTAGTAACTCAGCAGCTCTGACTGCTTGATGTCCATCCTCTTTAAGTATCTGTTACCAGATTTTTCCATTATCTCCTTTATTGGAAGCTTTGCCCATGAACTCATCCATGTGGATTTTAAAATCAATATAAATAAATGATCAAATGACTGATCATTAAACGTTTCTAGGATCATGCAGATCCTGTTCTTCTCTTTCATGGTAAAGTCTTCGGGTTTTACAACCAACAGGAACACATGAGGTCCAGGAGCAGAAACCCTCGCAAAGTCTTTAATAAACTCTGTCATTTTGTTTGCTGTGGGAGACTGAAGATCTGGAGTACGCAAAAACAAATAGCAGAAAGAAAAAAACTACTGGAAACACAGAAAAAAATTCCTTCGTTCAATATGTCAGGAATTTCTTATAAAGTTAGAGGGATTTTCTCCAAACCCAACATACCAGTGAATTTTAAACCCAACAGCACAGAACCGATGAACACTCCTGGATAGGAGTCGAAATGTTTTCAGTAATCAGAGCTAAAGTCTGGTTGCCTTCCAATTTAAGCCTGTTTTGTAACATTACAGATATGAATGAAGCAATATCTTTGTCAAGGTTTTTGTTATTTCATGTTTCTGCACTTACCAGTAGCTGCATCATCAGATCCTGTCGCTGCCTTTTCTTTCTCACTCTGAAATTCTGCATCTTCATACTCTTCATAGCTCACATGCTCCCCGTTGTTCTGTTTTACGATTTTTCGTAAGTAAGTCAGCAGCTCTGACTGCTTGATGTCCTCCATCTTTAAGTATCTGTTGCTACATTTTGCCAATATCTCCTTTATTTGAAGCGTTAGCCCTGAAATGTTCTGTCTGGGTTTTAAAATCAATAGAAGTAAATGATCAAATGACTGTTCATTAAACGTTTCTAGGATTATGCAGATCCTGTTCTTCTCTTTCATGGTAAAGTCTTCGGGTTTTACAACCAACAGGAACACATGAGGTCCAGGAGCAGAAACCCTCGAAAAGTCTTTAATGAACTCTGTCATTTTGTTTGCTGTTGGAAACTGAAGATCTGGAGTATTGATCACAGTTATTGTCATGTTGTTCACTTTTCTACTGATTTTCAAACAGCACTGAGCTTCATCTTTAAAACAATCCTCTCCCAGTATGAGGCGTGCAACTGAGCTCCTCTGGGACCAGCTGCTTCCCAGCAGAACCACCCTGAGCTCAGACACTGGAAACATAGAAACAGAAAGTTAACAGAAACATCACTGAAGTCTCTGATTCTGGAAAATTCAGGAAGGAAGTTAGTTTTATTAATAACTAGAAAAAAACGATGAGGGCAGATTTAACATCAAATTTTCAACATATCTGATTTTTCTTTATGAGGAAAGTGACTAACTCTTAACTTCAATTATAGATATTAAATATTAATCAAGTTTATTTTTCTGTTTATCTATTAGCTATATTTCCTTTAGAAAATGCATTTTAATTTGAAAACACTTTTTCTGTCTTCTCATCCTTAAATCTCCCAAATCAAAATCTCCTGCTTGCTAGCAAATGTTTCTTCTCCCTCAGGACTGTTTCTGAGCTTTGATTGAATGATTCTCCCACAAAACTCCTTCCCTCTTGTCTGGATCTTCACCATGACAGGATTTTCCTCCCTTTAAAGGTTAAGTTGTTATCCTGTTCATTTAGGTCTGTCTTCTCTCCTTTAGGACTCTTATTAATCCTTAAGATCAAATCTGTGCCTTAGAAGCATTTCTAGTTAGGAATGATGTGTGTGAAACCATTGCTTTTTTGAGGTGTAAAGTTTCTTTATAGAGTTCTTACATCCTGTGTGTTTTATTGAGGGACTGCTGATGGTAAAACATTTTGTTCTCTTAACAGACTGTGTCAGAAAAGTGGATGAATCTCCATAATCAGGGTAGTTATTTGTAACACATGACTGTAAGTGAGAGCTAATTAACATAAGGAGAAGAGAATCTATGAAAATAGATTTGGGTCTTTACTGTTCAATTGAAAAAAGTCTTATTAAATAAAAAAATATATTTTCAGTAAAAACAAAAAACAAGACGTCAGTTCAATAAAAAACCTTTAAAACTTTTAAATCAAATAAAAATGTATTTAAATGTGGTCTAAATGTGGTTGAGATAAAAAGTATATAAATTGAACATAGTTTTTCTTTGATTGAAAAGCTGGAAAGGTTCAGTCTAGGATACTGGATGTGACGTTTTCTACGTAGAAGATGTTTCTCCTCTCTTCTTCAGTTCTAACTGATGATGTGGGTCACTGAGATTAATATACTGTAGGTGGAACTAAGAATGACCAATCCAGTAGGAGGGATCAGAGCCACAATATGTTTAATCTTCCTAATCCTTTGTTCCACCTACAGGATACTGTAGCTCCTCCTTGCCTACCATGGTGGCAAGACATCCATAAACCTACAAACCTACTAAATATGGGGCACCCTGAGTTCCTATCATTAAAATGTGATAAAATTGCAGTCGTTCTTATTGGTTTGGTTATGAGCACCCTTGTAAAAATTCTGTAAATAAATACCTTTTTTAACCCAATAAGAATATCACAATTAAATAATGAATTGTAAGATTTTATGTCTTTTTACTAAAAAATAATGGTTAAATGAAATTACAGGATTTAAATTGAATGCAGAATACACTTTGCGGTGTGGCTCAATAAATCATAACATTCACTAAAAAGAGTGACAGGACAAACAACCATTCATGCACACACTCACACCTAAGGACAATTTAGAAAAGCCAATCAACCTAACAGTCATGTTTTTGGACTGTGGGAGGAAGCCGGAGTACCCGGAGAGAACCCACGCATGCTCAGGTAGAACATGCAAACTCCATGCAGAAAGACTTATGTTCAAATAACTATTTTAAATAAAATAATAGCATTTTTGTCTTTATAATTCAATCAAAAAAGAAGCTGCTTGAAAAAATAGATAGAAAAGCCACTCCAATGAAAAGAAAACATTTTCAACATTGCAAAAATAACTAGATTCCAACAATTGCATTTGAACACTTTATTTGAAAATGTTTTCTTTGATTGATGTAATGATTATTGTTTCTATTTTCAACTATCTACTATAGATCTACATAGATGATATACAGACAGACAGACAGACAGACAGACAGACAGACAGACAGACAGACGGATAAAACCTATTCTTAATACACACATACCAATATGTTTCTTTAACTGTTTAAACAGCACATATTAGTATCTTACACTTAAATATGACTAATTTTGCAAATGAATGTCAAATGAAGACAAAATGTAGTAAAAAAGTATTTCGGATGATCTGTACTCACAGCACGGAGGAAGAAATTCATAGCTACTCCTTCGTTTTAGTTGAGCCCAGCCTGTAGATTGATAAGATATAAAACTTAGGAGACAAAAAATTTACTCTACTTTATACCCGTTAACCAGGTTCTGGGGTTCCATAGGTAATTATTCACCAAAACATAAAAAAAATATGATAAAATAAATAAATTCAAACAAATTAAACAGTTAAGGAAAGCCCTCTGGCTACACCTTGAAGCTTTCTCTCTCTGTTTCTTTTTCCTGAAAAGAGATCTCTCGGGACAAACTCTTTAAATAACACTTCATAATGTATGTGTTTTAAATAACCATGAGATATGGCAACAGATTTTAGTTGAAATTGTAATCTTACTCAAACAGAGACATTTTTTAGAGTAGCAGATGGAAGTGCTTACCAACTGCGCCCACATCTATAAGAAGTGGCCACGAATCGCAGTTAAAGAAGCATTTTATACAACTGCAGTCTGCCACATCATCACATCATTACATCATATATGTAGGTCAATGAGGAGACATCCATGCCTCCAGCCTTACCGATATATAACACTTTGCTCTTAGATCAAGGAGAGCACTCTCATACATTCCCAAAAAATAGTATTTTTTTAAAGGGAGGGTAAAACCAGTTCTGTATTCTCATAGCATTCACCGACAAAGCTGAAAATGCTGCTCATTTTTTCTCAAGTCTTTATAAATCAATGGATGCCTGGATTTTCAGGGAAATGGGAATAGCTGTGTGACAAATTCCCTGGGATTCATATTATCTGGGTAAAACAAATCCTGGGCTTTAAATCTCGGGGCTTACAATGGAAATAATTGTTATTCAGTTATTAATGGTGCAGATATCAACCAAGGTACAAGTTAATACAGTTGTTATGGAAAGTTATCAAAGCAATCATTTAAAAAGTAAAACTCACACAATAAAAAAAAAAATCATAACTTAATAAACAATATATATATATATATACATATATACATTAATTACGACAACATATTTCTCAATATGTTCCTATGCTTTATTTAATTTTCATTGGACGTTACAGAGGGGAGAAAACTATTAAGATTTTAGTAACACTTGAACCCCAGCATACTGACCCTATAAGAACTACTGCAGGAAAAACTGATATAAAATAATGAATCTACGCCATATTTTGATTACTGAAGTCAGACAAATAGCTGAATAAAATAAGAGAAACTCACTTGATGCTACAGCCATGGTAGCTTTTTACCCTGCAGACACAGTCAAAGAGAGATTGCAGCTACATTGGTATAAATTATATTGCACATATAAAAATGAAAATATATGAATGCATGAGCTCATTGTTTATTTTTATGTTCAAATCAAGTAACATGTATTTATATCATCATCAAGGCAAGGCAAGAGTACTGATACAGCTCAGTTTAGTAGCAAGACAATTCAAAATGCTGTACATGCGAAAGGCAGATTTTAAAAATAAAACTTTGTTGCTGTGGAATAAAGGTAACAGGAACAATGAGACAAAAGTTCAAATAATCATTTTTTTTTTATAAAAAATTACTAATTAATAATTTTATAAAAGGAGAGAAAAATGATTGACAAAGCTTGGGGTCCTGAGTCTGGTTTTGACTCTCTTCTGCCTTGCTTCCTTTTTATATAAGTTGAGACTGGATTTGTTTTACTGCTGTCCTACTGCAGTTTGTTTCTGTCACACCCAGTAACTGAATATGGTGATGTACATACTGTTTTTCTTTGAGAAAACCTTAAGTCTACAATAAATTCCATACATGATCCTTTTCCTGAAAACCTGCCTTAACTGGGGAAAAAAAGACAGGCTACTGTCAATAAAATGAGAATTTTTGGTAAAAAAACAACAAAAACATTACAACATATTAAATCAAAGCACAGAACAAAAGCTATGAGACAGGGAAAAAAATAAATTACAAGAAGGAAAAAAAAAAAAAAATATATATATATATATATATATATATATATATATATATATATATATTAGGGCTGGGCGATATAGAAAAAAAGCTTATCGATAAAAAAAAATGCATATTGATCGATATCAATAGTTATTGAAAAGATTTGAAACCATATTTTATGTGCAGCTCTGCCTGGACTTTTTATAATATTGCTAAATGATTTAATTTTAATAAAGAACACAAACACAGACTTTGAATTAAATCTTTATTTAACCAACTTTTCTAACCATAACAGAATTGTTTTAAAGAAAAATAACTTAAGAGACCTGGGTTATGTTATTAAATACTGACAAAGAATAAAATAAAGTGACCAGAAAAGTGACCAAAATGAATATAACAAATACCCATTCTTCTAAGCTTAACCTGGTTCAGCTTAGTTTCCTGCTTTAACCTGAGTTATTACTTTGAAGTTTCTGGCCCCTCTGTATTTTTCTCTCAATCGTTAGTACTATGTGGGAAACTGCCCAGAACTGAAAATATATATATATTTTTCCCGAAATTCCCGAAGATTCCTCGGAGGAGAGCCGCGCCGGGGCCTACACAGCTCGTACTCCTGTGGGTGTGAGCGGCTGAGATGATTAAAAAAAGTTGGTTGTGTTATCAGACTTCATTTTCACTGGTTCCCGACACATTTTACAGATGACTGTGGTTTGTTTTTTGTCCGACTTGCCATGACCGAAATACTGCCAAACTGGCGAACTACAAAAACCCTTCTTTGAAACAATTTCCTCCGACTCTCCTTGCTGCGACATCTTCATGTGCTCTGTGTTGTGGTTTGAGAGGGCGGCACTTGGTGACGGCGTGCCTGGGTCCGTGATTGTGATTGGTTGGGAGGGAGTAGTGACTAGCATAAACATACATGATAGGCTACAACGAGAAGAAAGGAAAACTGCGTTTCTTTTTTATCGAACTTTTATCGACCCTCTTTTTTTCTATTGCGCCACAAGTCTATCGATCGATATATATCGTTATTGAATTATCGCCCAGCCCTAATAACTGTATATATTTGTGTATATATTGAGTTAAATTTTTTGGATCTGAATAAATATGTGTAATCTAACTGAAAGGTAATTATAGAATTTGTTTTGGTCATTTATGAGGCTGTGACATGTAAGGTATTATTATGATATTATCTTTGATGTGATTAAAATGAGATGGAAGGGACCTCCTATTCATTCTGATAGCAGCTGTCTGAACTGTGTTCTGACCTAAGGTGGCCGCCCTTTAGGCAAATCGACCTTGCTGCTGACAGCGTCCAATAAGGCGTCTACATATATAATGTCTATGGTTGCATCACTCGTCTCTCTTCCATATGGCTGAGTTACAGTATTTGCTTCTTGCTGCTGTATCAAACTCTCCAAGCATTAAAAGGGTGACTAGATTTGGGTTTCTGAAAAGAAGGAAATATTTTCTTTTGGGTGGGTGGGTGGGGTCCTGCTGGGCAGGACCGGACACTTGAACCGAGCCGTCAGCTCCGGGGCTGGTCCAGGAACCCCGGCGGACAGGGAGCCACCTGGGGATGGAGTGAACGAATCTGACCTGGCAACGGTATGCTTCCACCCGCCTGCCTTACCATGCTTCCTCCCGCTCGCGTGCTAAGGCAGGCGGAAGCACAGGGCTGCCAGTGTCAAGGCTACCATCACTGCCAGAGTATTACTTTGTGATGAAAGTTGGTGGGCACACTTGGGTGGTGGCTCATGGACCTCATGGACCCCTCTCAACTGCATATAGCATACTACACATCTCATTAACATCAAGTTTTGTATATTTTTTTATGTTAAGTGGGCCAAATCGCCTATATTAAAAGTAAACTATTGCAAATTATTGCTGCAATCTGAGTATTTTATCAGTCATGTGACTTGATTAATAACAGGTGTAATATTAGTGCGAGGCCACGGTGTGCACATGTGATGTTGCTCAGTGGTCCTCTCTATTCAGGAAGCTGGTGTGTATGCACAGACATAAAATATTGCTTATAATAAATATCTGTAAGCATAATAGTTTTTACATATGATGGAAATGGCTTTCTATGTTTGTAGTAATAACTCTAATTTTCAAGTATTTAGTTTTTTAGTTTGGATCCTTCCAGGGGTCCTTACAAAGATTCATAAAAGACATAAAGGAAAAGAACACGAATGGAGTAACACAAAAATACATAAGATAAAATATATATCTATATACATACTTATATACACATACACACACCAATACTTCAACACACAGATACACATACACAACATTACATGTAAGTACATAATACATATACACATATATATAACATATATGCATGATAGATTAATAAAATACAGTGGACAGTTGTTTAAATTCTTCTTATAGTTGTAGGTTATAAAAAAGTCAGATCTCATCATGTGAAATGTCTTATTGTATTTGATAATTTTGTGTGTATAATGTAAAGAAAATCCCACAGGAAGTTATAGCTAAAAGCAAAGATTTAATTTATTAATTTATTATTCAAATGAATCTTAAACTGCACTTGATTACCTGCTGGTTCCCCATGGGGTGTCCATTATAAAGATACCTATATTATACATTATATTTGCAGTAATAATTGGGCTTATTTAGCTTAAAATATGAGAAAAAAAATGCTGGTTAAAATTTCAAGGTAATATAATCACTCTATCATTTATAAATTTTTTTAGCAAGTTAAATGTTAAAGTATTTGATTTGCTTTTATTAATATTTATTCAGCAAGTTCAATATTTAGTGTGGAACCAAAATATTTAGATTCAAATGAAATATTTACTTGACAAACAATATTTTTCTTGAAATTAAATATGTAGTTGACAAACCTTAACATTTAGTTTGTGATTGAGTATTTAGATCCTATCTAAATGGTTTAGCTCTGGCCTAACATTAATTTTGCAATTGAAATATTTAGCTGTGACCCAGCAACCCCTCCTCTCTAAGATATAATTTTGTTTAGATCAGATTCTTAGTTATTATTTTAAGAGTGAATATTGACTATATAAAAGTTAATCCAGGGCCCTTGAGCAGGAGGATTTTATATGTGCCTTTTGATTTATATGAGCACCCGCCCCTTTAGTACCCTGAGGGGGTTGATGAACTGCCCGGCCATATTTCCTAAATACTTTGGGATGGGGTTCAGATTCCCTGGAAGTTTTGACAGTTATTGGTGTTAGCTTTCAGTTCAGGTTTTAGACTGAGTTCAGATCTTTAATTTTAACTATCCACACCCAGAGAGCCACTCTAAAACAGTTCAGCGCTGAGTCCATGGTCATTTCCATGAGCACCGCTCATTTCAGATTAAAGGTTAATGCTTCATTAGGGCAGATTTGTGCAGAAAAAAACGATAAACTGCTGAAAATGTATACAGATAAAAAGTTCAAACAGGTGCCATCACGAGGTTATTGTGTGGAGAACAGAAGAGCTTCTGAAAGAATAATTTCCAAAAGTTTGTGAGGTTCAGACATCTTCGTTGTTTGTGGGTGACAAAATACTTATTTTCCATCATAGTTTAAAAACAAATCCTGGAATGTGGTTTCCTGGATTTTCTTTCTCATTTCGTCGCTCATAGCTGAAATATCCCTATAATGAAAATCGCAGACATATATCATCCTTCAAAGTAGGAGAACTTGCACAATCACTGCTTGACTAAATATTTTGTTGCTCTACTGTTTTTCTAAAAAGTATTATTTTAAAGGGCACAAGTAAAGAGGTTCCATGTTTTTATGTTGTCTTTTAAAATTTAACAGTTTTTTCTTCACTTCCTTTCAGAAATGGATGATGAAATTCCTACTGTTGTTATTGATAATGGGTCTGGGACGGTCAAGGCTGGTTTTGCTGGAAATGACGCCCCCTCCCATGTCTTGCAATCTATTTATGGCTACCACAAATACACGGTAAAGTTTCCATGTAAAAATGTATTTTAAAGTCAAATATGTTTAAGTGTGAAACATTATTTTGTCCTTTTTTTTACAGGATGCATCAGTGAGTATGGGACACTGCCAGACGTGGCTGCTTGGGACAAAACTTTAAGTTAACATAGATACAGACCTATAAAACTAAACTCTCAACGGACATTTCTTCATATATACAACAGTACGGTTGTGGAAGCAGGACAAGTCTTAAATCTAAAAGACACATCATGAGGCTCACAAGAAATTAAGCTGCAGTGTAAAATGAGACATTCATACTTTTCACCGTCACCCTTTCTGTTTGCCATATCCAGTTTTCCTTCACAATTTTATTCTGTATAAAATGCATTTTCTATGTTTTATTCTAGAATAATTTATTTTTATCGGTTATTTCATTTCCTTTAATATAAAATATTTTTTTGGTCTGGGAGTGAAACATTTAACTCTACATAAACAAGTAAAAACATTAGAGCCATACACTGTTGTCTACATATACACAACCTGTCAGTTAGGCTACATACAGCTTATAAAATAAGTATTAGATGTATTGAAAATGCCACCCTTTTCTCAGTAAATATATTTCTAGAGGTTTTTTGGACATGAGATTTTCACCAGATGTCAGTAACAATCCATGCCATCCACACATACAAACAAATCAAACCATAGATGCCCAGAAATGATGTTATGTGTAAATCGCACAGGGAAAATGTAATCAAATGCAGGAGGTTTTCAGGAATGCTTTTCAGAGCATTCGGCTTTGCAAATATTTCTACACACTGCCTCTGAAGGATGTCTCTAATTCTCCCTTTTACTGAAGACCAGCTTTGTTGGAAACGAAGCCCAGGAGAAGAGGGGCATCTTGGCCATGAAATACATCACTGACAACAACTTTGAAACTGACTGGGAGGAACTGGAAAACGTAAGGCTATAGTGATAAAACTATGTATGTGACTGGATATGTGACCAGTTATAGGCAAAAAAAAAAAAAAAAGGATAGCATAAAGATCTTCTCTTTTCTTATCAAAATGTTTGACACTAATCACCAATGTTCATTCCAAACAGGAATGTTGTGATGATATGTTTGACTATACCTTAGCTTATTTAGCTTTTGGGTATTTTTTTTTTTTTTACCTTAATGCTCATATTTATTATTGCTGTAGATTAACTCTCACTACCAGAGGGAATTTCTCATTGAATAAAAGGGTCACTAAACCACCACTGTAAATTTTATAAAATAACTGGTCAAAAATACATTGTTAAACTTCATAAATGTTGTTACTAAACTAAATTCAATATTCTTTTAAATGCACTGATTGATTTCAAAAGTATGTTCCCGTCAAAGCCCCAGACCCCACATCCAGTGGGACTTTGGACTGAAGGCCCCCCTCTTTTTTTTGACTAAACACCAAGTCATTTTTGCTTCTTAGCTGTACAACTGGGTTGTTTATTTATCTTTCAGGGCTTGTTGTGGACTGTGGTGATGGTAACAGTCACACAGTCCCAGTATATCAGGGCCACGGTATGCCCCATTCCTTTGTTTGCACACCAGTATCTGGAAGAGGTCTGACGGAGTACCTGGTCAGGATTCTAACAGAAAGAGGCAACTATTTCAGAACAACTGGTAAGAGGCCCACTGAATGTTTATTTTATTATTATTTTTTAAATTTTATATCTAATAGTAAGTATAGAGCAGAAAATATAAATTAGTTGAGGCTGGTTGTTTAATGTGTGACACTCTTGCTCTAAAACAGCTGAGCATGACATTGTGCGAGACATGAAGGAGAAGCTCTGCTATGTGGCTTTGGACTTTGAAAAAGAAATGCAGACGGCAGCTTCCTCCTCCTCTCTGGAGAAGATCTATGAGCTTCCTGATGGACAACAGGTTCAGATCACCAGTGAAAGGTTCAGATGTCCGGAGGTTTTCTTCCAACCTTCTTTTATCGGTTTGTAGTAAAATGAAATTAAAGTCCATCCTCAGGTATTTAAATTTATAATCTTATGCCATCTCTATCTATTTCATTCTTATAAATTGATTACTATGTTTCCTAAAATCCTGAGACTGCCTAAGATTATTTAAGATACATTTTTGATATATATATATATATTTTTTTTTTTTTGGTGTTGTTCAGGAGAAGAATCACCTGGTATTCATGAGAACGCTTACAACAGCATCATGAAGAGTGATATAGAGATTAGAAAAGATCTGTATTCCAACATTCTGCTTGCTGGAGGATCAACCATGTTCCCTGGATTCGCTGAGCGCTTGCAAAAAGAGATGAATGCTTTGGCCCCACCTACTATGAGAACAAAGGTGCAGAAGTTTGTTCTTTTATTGCACATGTGTGAGGAGCTTTAACACATTTTATTCATCCAGAAAATAAATCTGCTGTGAGGATTTAAAGACTGTAAACATTTAAGCCACATACCATATGTTCTTCTAGATAAGAGATGAAAGCTTTGAAAATATTAAAACCACTATGATTGCCAAACATTATTTCAGTTTAAGGTTTTATCTTTTTGTTGACAGGCTAGATCAGGAGAGCTTTTAATGGCAGTTTTGATGGTTAGTGTCAATTAAGAGCTGTGGAGGCTGCTGACAAACCCCCTCAAACATCAAAAGGGGTGTTGAAATCCTGATGATGCAGATTTAAAGTATCATAGTTGCATCACGGATGCATAGTTATAGCAATCATTATAGCTATCATTCACATTCCGTCACAGCAGCTGCTGAAATATGCATGCCCCCTTAAAATAATAGAGACTTGCAGTTGATTTCACATTTTCCTCATGATCACAAAGGTCCTCTAAGCAATTAGTATGAATTTCATAAAAAATAAAAAAAATATTAAGGGTTAAAACAGGGAGTATGCATGGCTCCCTTAATCTAGCATAGTAAACAATTATCCATCCATCCATTTTCCATAGTAAAAAACTATGGAGGATAACGTATATACATTTTTTAATCACAAGTATGGGTTTTAGTTATGTGAGTGGTGTCACCATTTTTGGGTTTGGAACAGGGGGGTGTTTTTCAGCAGCGTTCATAGCTGCTATGTCAGAAAAGGCATCCCCTGGTATCAAAGAGGAATAAACAGTTTTAATGAATTTCACATGTTCTTAATATTGAAACATGTATTCTAAGCTACTTGTTTCATGGGTGCATGATAATTTTGGGGGTTAAAACACATTGCGATACATTTCTTTGCAGCCTTAAAATCAGTGCTGCCAGAAAGATGCTTGTGTGTCTTTATGCTAATGTTGTCCAAGATTAGCTTTTTCTTCAGGGTCTATGACTTTAAAACATTTGACTCAAACAGGTTAAAAAAGGGTTATTAAAGCCGTTATTTTTAATGGTCTTCCTTAATATGAGGCTGTACTGAGAAATGTGTGCTCCCATGACAGGGAATGCAAATCTCAGCAGGCATGCCCCTCAAATAATTTGTCCAAATAGAGGAAAATGTCCATGAAAATTATTGATTGTGGTTGATTGAATCCCAGTTGCTATATGAACATGTCTGATCATGTCTAAGATATAAAGAAAATTATAACTCGCAGGCTGCAGCACACAAGGCTTCTACACTGGATTTGAAATTACAAAGAACTTCTGGAAATTTCACTTTAGTCCCTCCCACTGATACAACTTATAGCATTAATCAACTGGAATGCATATTGAGCGTTATCTCACATGAAGGAACAAAAAGAAATTGTATATAATATTAGTGCACTAGTACAGAGTTGCACCCACCTCAAGGATAAATGCAGGGGAAGCAATGTAACCAAGTAGAGTTTTAAAACACAGATTATTTTTATTAAACCTATAAAAACAGCAAACAGTAAAACAAAAATCTTAACCAAAGTATTTATTAATAAAGAGTCCCAAAAAAGGATACAATTAACAAGGGAGGTGGAGTTCACTCCACTCAGCTCCATGTAGGTCGTTGGTTCTCTCCTCTTGCTGGCCTGATCATTATGAAAGAACTACCTCAGGACAGGCAGTTGCACAAATCTTCTTCACACATCCTCAATGACATGGACAAAGATCAATCAGTCAGAGTATCGAAGCGCTACGTACACACACAGGTAGAGAAGCTCTGCCCAGCTGCCATGACAGCTGTCTTGCTGCCTTCCCCTGATCACTGTCCTTATTGATGCTCCTCCTATGCTGCTGACAGCAGGTCTTGCTGCTGGTCCTAAAGCTTTCATCAGCTTTCAGTCTTTAGTTTCCTCTCCTTCCATTTAAATACTGTCCTTTCAAGCCACCAACAGCCAGCTAACAAAGGTCGACATAAGTGAGATATCTTATGGTAATTAAAACTATAACCAAAACATAAAGAATAAAATAAAAAATAAATAAAAGCACACATTACAAACCAAGATAAAAAATAAATTAAACTTTAAAACATGAGATTTAAACAATATACACACCAGGCCATGGTCACCCTGTAACATTAGCCAGAAAATGTGACTTATTTCTGAGCAACAACAATTTAACTGAGAAATGCTTCATACAAATCCAACACATCCTTTCTAGCTGATTGCTTTTATTATGTCTTTCAATTTGATCAAATGCACCAAAAACAAGCTATTTATCTAAGCTCGTTTAATAATATAAATTATAAAGTAATGAAATTAAACCTTGCTGCTCTGTGTTGTTTCTTTTCCTTCTCCAGATTTTTGCTCCACCAGAAAGAAAATACTCTGCATGGATAGGTGGCTCCGTCCTGGGGTCCCTCTCCACTTTCCAGCGGATGTGGGTCACCAAACAGGAGTATAATGAGTCTGGCCCCACTATTGTCCACCACAAATGCTTTTAAACCGTTTCTCATTGTAACCCTTTCCCTAAACTTCCATTTTTTTTCTTTTTGCACCAAGCTGAGAAGAGTCTGTTGTGTCTTTTGCAATCCAATATATTATGGTTTTCACTGGAATCTCAAGTACAAAAAAACTTCTGTTCAATTGTCTTCAATTATATGTTGAGAGTTCTATTTTTTTTTAAAATGAGTGCACTTAATAAATCTTTTCCTCATACATGTGACTACAGGTATTTGAATAATTGTAAGATGTTTAAAATATAACATCTCTGTGGAGGTCTGTGGAGTTTCACCCTAATACAGAGATGAAGAGGCAGAGATGATTTCTTACAGGTAGCCAATAATGAAGAGGTAGAAAGTACAGAAGCAATAATTCAGAAACTATCAGCAAGGAACTCAGGAATCAGAAACAAACATAAGGAATGAAGAGAATCTAGCAACCAGTAACTGCAGATTAGGTGTATATATGCCAAGCGGAACAATGAATCGAGTAATCAACTGATTGGGAGCAGGTGTGGACAGAAGGATCAAGAAGGGAGCTACAGAAAAGGAGACTGGCAGAAGGGGCCGACAGAGAGTAAGTCGGAAAAAAAATAATGCCTAAATTTAACTAGAAAATAGCTCATATGACATTAAATGGAATTGAAACTGATGACATGAAACTCACGATGACATGAATGAAGAAGTGTACCTGAAAACCCTAAGTGAAACTTGCAACAGAACCTAAAATCATAATCAGGAGATCATGACAATCAAAGATTTAAGGAAACTCAAATTATTAGCTTGGTACTAGCAGCCAAGTGGAAAAAAGATTCATGTTTCTTTATATATTGAATAGCATGCACATGTTTTGGTTAAGTAATAATTTGCAAAGAAAATAATCATTGTAACCGTTGCATACCTTACAATTACTACAATTTATGCAATTAGAGTAAAGCAGCTCTTATCAGATTGACAGTTTCCTCCATGTCTGTAAAGAGCTGAAGCATAAACTGAAAACAAAACTGGTCAAATTAAAGAATCAAAGTAACAGAAAAGATAATATTGTTTTTTTTTTCCATGATGATTGTTGGAAAATTTTTATCACTGCTGCACCTAGTTTTCCTTTATGTCATACAAATTCAGCCCTGAAGCCTCTGAAAAATGATGTCTGACAGAGAGCATAAAGTTGCCAAGGGAATGTGAAGGTCAAACATAGACTGGATAGTGATTTCATGGCTCTTTGAGGTTGACCATTAACTTTAGACATGACTGACATGAATGATAGTATCAAGGGAATTAGGGACACATGGTCCTACACTGCAAACAGGGTGTAGAACCATGGCATTCTCCCTCACACACTCCTACTCTCAACATGAAGGCACTTCAGATAGAATTTTCAATCAAATCCTCCTGATTGGTAAAAAGGTGTTTAATATTTAAGGAAACCCAGCTGATTGCATCAAGTTATTGACTTTGTTTTATTGGCTCCTTTTGAATGATTATGTAGCAACAGTACATACCCTCCACTGTTGCTGCATAAATGCAGCAACAGTGGAGGGTAAAAACTAATCAGAAACCTGCATCAGATTTTTTTCTGAAGTATCCACAAATAAACCTTTTTTCATCGCTTTTTATTGTCATTACAGTGTCACAAGTACGGAGCAATTAAATAAACTCTTGGTGTGGGAGTTAAGGGTCTTGCTCGGGGACCCAGAGTGGCAGTCCGTGGGAGTGGGGCTTGAAAGCAGAACCTCCAAGCACAATGCCCTAACTACTAGGCCACCAACTCCCTGCAGTGAAAATCGCAGCTTTTACTATGATCTTAAATTTTATTATGTTCAAGCAGAAATTGATGGAGTCAATCTGTATTATTGATTATAGATTATTGGGATACATTCCAAGACATGAAAGCCTTTTAAAATTAATGCTTCCATGTACTGGATAGTGATTTTCATGGCTCATTGAGGTTGATCACAATCTATAAAATCATTACTCTACACCTTAGCTTATGTGTAGCAGACAAATGTCTGTCTTTTTGTGTCCACAGACTTGGTTTATGTAGTCGATGAATAATTTAATTGTCTAAAGCTTTCTTACATCATGGAGCTGACAGTGTGCAATATAGAGAATTTTTAATTTTCATGTACACAAATGGGGGCAATGCATTTGTTTTTTTTCTCCAGTATCATAAAAAAGTTTGCAGTCAGAGCCTGGAAGAAGCATTCTGATTAGGGTTAAGAGGTTGGGACAGACCGGAGTACCATATTCCCTGCTCTTCTCTGACACTAAATGAAAATGTTACCCTTTTCTCTGTGATAAATACACTAATGGCAAAGCAATAATTCAGAAGCACAGAGGCTTAAAAAAGCAAAAACAGGAAATAACTTCTTACAGCACTTATTTTCATGTCTTTATTTAAAAGCAGTTAATATAAAACAAACCAAATTAAGCAATTCAACCATGAAACATTTATTTTTATATACATACATTTCTGCTTTGAGTTACCATAATTACATTTATAATATACTTTCATTGATGCTTTTAATAGTTTCCATACAGTGCATGTGCTTTGAGTGTTTAATCACATCGGACTTTTTTAAGAAATCCAGTTTAAAAAAAAAAAAAGCACAGCAAAACTTTTATTGCAACAATAAATGTTACAGAATAACTGGCAGAAGAAAAGATAAAAAAACAGTCACAGAATGGAAAACATTTATTTCAGTCCTTTGTGTATTTTGATATTTCCTTTGTGTAAATTATTTCTTAAAAACAAAAGAAAAATGTACAGATTTTCTCATTGACTAATAGTTTTTTTTTTTCTTGCATCGATTAATGTTTCACTCCATGAGCAGTTTTTGATGAAATACAAAGTTTCAGAAATACATTCAAAATTCAGTAGCAGATGCTTGATTTGAAAAAAAAATAAATAAAAAATAACAAAACAAAACACACTAATCTATGTCTTACAAATAAAATTATATTTGTATACATACAGTTCTCAGTAAGATGGCAAGGAATAAAAAAAGGACATCAACGTATATAATTATAACCTCTTGGAGGTTTGCCTCTGTGTTTTTTTGGACAAATTCAAACATATAAAAATAAAGCTGAACTAAAGCTTCCAGATATTTACATCAGAATGAGTATTCACCAGACACATGTGGCCCCCATACAGCTAACAACTACAGCATCATCAGCACCATGCAGACCCAGATTAACCCAGATGCTGATTCTGCTATAGTGTGTGGTATGTTTGAGGCATGTTCTGTATCTTCTGATTCGGGAGGAGTGAATGCTGGGAGTCAATGACTCAGTGTAACCAGCTGGATCTCCTTGTAGTTAGAAAACTGTCTGGATGATTTGATTAACTGAGTGTAAAAATCCTTTTTTTATTAATTAGTTTGAGTTGAATTGACACATACTGCCTGTTCAGAGTGTTGGATCCTCCTGGAAGAGCTTGTGAGTCTGGCTTAATATCGATCAAATAGGGGGATATTAAGTCTGTCCACATCTTATTTTTGATGGAGTTTTAATCTTTTTTTGGAACATTGATTTTTTTCCAGCAATTCTTAGTTTTATATCACCATCACATTTCTTTTTTTATTTTAAGGATCTGCTGTTGTATTCATATAAAATTTCTTAGAGCTGGATTCTTCAGCCTGTTTTCTGGCCTGCTTTAGAAACTTCTTCTTCATTTCCTCCAATTGTTTGCAATATTTTTCCTCTAATTCTTTTTCCATTCTCTCCTGATCATATTTTTTTATTTTATTTTCATATTTTTCTCTTTCTTTGTCGAACTTCTCTTGAAGCCTCTTCAGTTCTTCTCTTCTCTCCTCATCCTCTCGATGTCGTTTTTCCCACCACTCCTTCCTTTCCTTTTCCCAGGCGTCTCGTTTTTCTTCCATCTGTTTTTTCATCTCTTCCATTTTTCTGTCAGTTGTCTCCTTTCCTTCTGACTCTATCTTAATCTTTTTCTCTAAAGTTTGTCGTTCTGTTTCCCACTGTTGTTGTTGTTGTTCCTCCTCCTCTTTTCTCTTCTTCTCTTCTTCTTCTCTTATCTGCTGTTTTTTCATCTTCCGCTCTTTTTTCTTGTTGATGTTTTCTTCCATCTCTTTAAGTTGCTCAGCTAATTCTTTTCTCTCTTTCTCTATTTCTTCTCTCTGTTCCACCATTTTTCTTCTCATTGCTTCTTTTTCTTCTTCAATGTTTCTTTTCAGCTCCTCCTTCAGTTTTTTTATATCTTCTTCTTTTTCCTTCAGGATTTTCTCTATTCTCTTTTGTATCTCAGCTTCGGTCTCATGCAGCATCTCGTTTGTGTAATAGCGGCCTCCATTTTCCCTCACCATGATGTCGATCTTTCTGATCAGCTCTCTGACTTGTGATCGATTCCATCTCCCATGGTTATTAAACACATGATATCTCCCTCCACAGTCTCTGATCAGCTTCTTGCAGGGTTCCTCACAATCCTTTTCCACATATTCTTCAATAGACTTCTCCTCATACTCCAGATCATCTCCTCTAGTAAAAAGGATGATGGTGAAATTTTCTGAATTTTTACCAAACACCTCATGGATGCGTTTTAAAGTCTCGTTCTCCTCTTCTGTAAATCTGCCAATTGGAATCACCACCAGGAAGACATGTGGACCTGGAGCCAGAAGACTGGTGCATCTCACCAGCTCTTCACTGACTGCTTCATGGGACAAACTGTTTCCAAATAAACCAGGAGTGTCCACAACCACAACAGGGCGACCGTCGACTAAACCTTGCTCTTTCTGACAGCGTTTAGTTACTGATCTTTGACTTGATCCAAATGTGAACACTTTTTTCCCCAGAATGGTGTTTCCTGATGAACTCTTTCCATTCCCAGTTTTCCCAATCAGGACAATCCTTAGACACTCTGGGTTTTTTTTCTTATCACCTGTAATATTAAAGCATTTTGCAGCATGTTAAAAGCAGGTTCAAAGACAGAAGCAGTGGTCAGGAGGTCAAAAAAAATGAAGAACTGATACTTACTTGCCATCTTTTCTGTCTTCAGTTCTTCTAGTTCTTTCTGTTGTTTCTGTAGTCTTTCGTTTTGGGCATTTGCAAACATTACTGTTGTGTAACTTTGTGTTTTAGTATCAGATGTCCTTGTCATTCCCACAATTCCCAAAAGTTGGGGTATCTGTTGTGTATCGTTAACGTTGAAAACAACATATCTTCCTTCACAGCTCTGAAGGAGCTCCTGGATGTTTCTATCAGTCTCTATGAAGTTAACATCTTCAGCTGTTGGATCTGAGTCCACAGTGAACAGGATCATGGTGAAGTCATTTACTCTAGAGCTGAATGTGTCCTGGATGGTCTGTAACTCTCCCTTGTCTTCATCAGTGAGGGGACCCACAGGTAGGACCAGGATGAAGGCGTGGACACCCTCAGGATCACAGAGGGAGATACACCTGAATGATTCCTCCATCACTTCCTGCTGAGCTTTTCCACACAACGCAGGCAGCTCCACCACAGAAACCCAACGTCCATGAACCTCTCCCTGGTTTCTAACACACTCTGATGAGTTGGAGGCTGAAGGAAGATCTATTTGACCTAGAATGGCCTTCCCTGATGAGGTCTTCTCTGCCTCTTTTCTTCCAAAGAGAACCAGATTTAAAAAATCTTTAGGTTTTACAGTCATGACTAAACCTTCATCCTTGTCTTCATCAATTTCCTCGGACACTGCAAGGAAGGGGGAAAAGGGTAAAAATTCTCCTTTGGGAACCAGAAAACATAATTACTGGATTTCAGTTTTACTCCAAAGTTATAGGAAAACCAAAAACAGAAAAACGACATTGGTAAAATGTATTCATATGCATTTTGAAATCAGAAGGTTGTCATTAAAACAGTTATCAAATCAATGGGCCAAGCAATTTATTTGAAATGTACTCGTAGCCATGAAATGGAAAATGGATGGTTGACGTTGGTAAATTCAAATAAAACTTCACGGGGGGGAGGGCAAACTAACATCTAAATCAATAGTTAACTAAAACCTGCTGTGAAGAGTTGTGTTTATTACATTACCTGATAAATCCCTCAAAGTGGATATGGTTGTGAACTGAGACTCATGAATAAAGAGGAAATGGTTTTAACCTTTTAATTCTGCCAAATCGTCTAAACTTTTTTTGCTGGAATAACTAATTTTTGAAAAGTAATAAGCTTTTTTTTTTCAAAGATCCCCCTTGCACACACACACATGGAATATAATAACACACATATACAGACACACACACAAAAATACACATATGGTATATATATATATATATATATATATATATATATATATATATATATATATCGATTAGTTCGATTAGTCTTTCACCCCTATACCCAGGTCGGACGACCGATTTGCACGTCAGGGCCGCTACGGGCCTCCACCAGAGTTTCCCCTGGCTTCGCCCTGCCCAGGCATAGTTCACCATCTTTCGGGTCCTATCACACACGCTCATGCTCCACCTCCCCAACGGGGGGGGCGAGATGGGCTGGTGGTGCGCCCGGAGCCACGGGGGGGCCCGGCATCCCACCTCAGCCGGCGCGCCCCGGCTAGCAATTGGATAGCTCAGTAGGTAACACGACGACTCTGGCACAGGTGACTGGGGTTCGATTCCCAGGTGGACACTTAGGCAAGGTCCTTTGTGCTTAGTGGCCTACCTCAGGCATGAGTAAAACCGCAAATACATACTGGCTCGGACGTCGCCCGGGTTAACAAGGTCTGCTAGGGAACCAGGGCAACTTGATGACAAAATGGCTACTGGAACAAGACATAGATGGACTAGAGCAGAAAACTTGGTACTGATGAAATGCTACTATACAAGCATCCCCAGTGAGAGAGGTTACATGCAGAGACTATGGGAATTATGGCAGCTCCAACAACCATCATCGACACTGACAAAGAAACAACTACTCTAACTCAGTGTTGTAACATCCGCAAATGGCAGCTCCTATCACAACTAGAAATTGATGAGGTACAACTGACATGCAGCAAGGGGGAGTCAGGACAACAGGTCAGTAGGGAGATATCATCATCCCAACACATAGAGATTGGGTCCCCAGCCCCAACATATACAAGCCCACTAAACGTAAGGGCGGCTGACCTACGACAGCAGATCATAACTAAACTGGATTCCCTCGTACAACAACCAAGACTTCCAAGGCTAAGTGACAGAGATGTACATACTATCCCTACTAAAGACATAACTGAGACCAACGAGCTGACCTACGCCACAGCTACAGTGATCCTAGAGATGCTTGGCTATAAGATAAACACCACAGGCCACAAAGCAGAGCCCCCATGGAGGAGAAGGTTGGAAGCCAAGATCAAGGCAACACAAAGAGAAGTTAGTCAGCTCTCAGACCTGCAGAAAGGTGTAGGGAAGAGGTTACCTAAGTACAACAAGCTGTCGATTCCTGATGCTCTAGAAACTGCCAAACAAAGACTCGCCGCCCTGGCCACCCGCCTAAAGAGATACAAGGGAGAAGCAGAAGCCAGGAGAATAAACCAGGTGTTCTCCACCAACCCATCCAAAGTGTACTCACAGTGGCAGGGTAATTCAAGATCAGATCCACCCAGGGCTGAGACTGAACAGTACTGGAGAAACATATGGGAGAAGGAGGCATCCCACAACACCAATGCTCAGTGGCTAGAAGATCTAAGAACAGATTACAGCAATCTCCCAGAACAAGAACCAGTAACCGTTACAATGGCAGATGTCCAAGAAAGAGCGGCAGGTATGAAGAGCTGGACAGCACCAGGCCCTGACATGATCCACACCTACTGGCTGAAAAAACTAACCGCACTTCATGCACGCCTCGCAGCACAAATGAACCAACTGCTGATGGATGGGACCCACCCAGAATGGTTAACCCAAGGATGGACAATCCTGATCATGAAGGATCCCCAGAAGGGAACAACCCCATCCAACTACCGGCCAATAACTTGCCTATGTACAACATGGAAGCTCCTGTCAGGCATCATAGCGGCTAAGATGAATAGGCACATGGCTCAATACATGCACCCTTCCCAGAAGGGAATAGGCAGTAACACCAGAGGAGCCAAGCACCAGCTACTAGTGGATAGAGCAGTCACTCGTGACTGTAAGACCAGACAGACAAATCTGTGCACTGCCTGGATTGACTATAAGGAAGCCTATGATTCAATGCCACATACATGGATACTGGAATGCTTGGAAATGTACAAGATCAACAGGACTCTAATAGCCTTCATCAAGAACTCAATGAAGCTGTGGAAAACAAGTCTGGAAGCCAATGCAAAGCCAATAGCACAAGTCACCATCAAGTGCGGCATATACCAGGGTGAGGCACTATCCCCGCTGCTGTTCTGCATAGGCCTGAACCCCCTCAGCCAGATCATCACAAAGACTGGCTACGGATACCAATTCTGAAGCGGAACAATCATCAGTCACCTCCTCTACATGGATGACATCAAGCTGTATGCCAGGAGTGAGCGAGACATCGACTCACTGATCCACACTACCAGGATCTACAGCAACAACATTGGGATGTCATTCGGACTGGACAAGTGCGGTCGCATGGTCTCAAAGAGAGGAAGATGATCAAAACCGAGGGGGTTGAACTACCAGAAGGCCACATTACAGATGTGCAGGACAGCTACAAATACCTTGGGGTGCCACAGGCTAACGGAAACCATGAGGAGATGGCACGAAAGACTGCCACAGCTAAATACCTACAAAGAGTAAGGCAGGTCCTGAAAAGTCAGCTGAATGGGAAAAACAAGATCCAAGCCATCAACACATATGCCCTACCAGTCATCAGATACCCCGCTGGTATAATAAACTGGCCAAAGGAGGAGATAGAGGCTACTGACATCAAGACGAGAAAGCTTCGCACAATGCATGGAGGGTTCCACCCGAAATCCAGCACTCTGAGACTGTATACCAAGCGTAGCGAGGGAGGCCGAGGGCTAGTGAGTGTCAAGACCACTGTCCAGGATGAAAGAACTAAGATCCAGGAGTACATCAGAAAGATGCCCCCCAAAGACAAATGGCTTGGCGAATACCTCAGGCAGGAGAAAACCGAAAGTGAGAACAAGAAAGAGGAAGGAGAACCATCATGGAGGGACAAGCCGCTGCACGGCGTATACCACAGACAAATAGAAGAAGTGGCTGATATCAAAAAATCCTACCAGTGGATGGAAAAGGGTGGACTGAAGGACAGCACAGAGGCACTAATCATGGCAGCACAAGAACATGCACTCAGTACAAGATCAATAGAGGCCAGGGTCTACCACACCAGGCAGGACCCCCGATGCAGACTGTGCAAAGATGCCTCTGAAACAATACAGCACATAACAGCAGGGTGTAAAATGGAGGCAGGAAGTGCATACATGGAACGCCACAACCAGGTAGCTGTCATAGTATACAGGAACATCTGCCATGAGCATGGGCTGGAAGTCCCAAGGTCAAAATGGAAGACACCTCCTAAGGTAGTTGAGAATGACCGAGCTAAGATCCTATGGGACTTCAAGATCCAGACTGACAAACAGGTGATGGCTAACCAACCAGACATCGTGTTGATCGACAAACAGCAGAAGAAGGCAGTAGTGATAGATGTGGCAATCCCAAGCGACAGCAACATCAAGAAGAAAGAACACGAAAAGCTTCAGAAATACCAAGGGCTGAAGGAGGAGCTACAAAAGATGTGGAAAGTAAGAGCAGCAGTGGTGCCAGTAGTAATTGGAGCACTGGGGGCTGTGACCCCCAAACTGGGAGAGTGTCTACAGCAGATTCCAGGTAAAACATCAGAGGTCTCTGTCCAGAAGAGCGCAGTCCTAGGAACAGCTAAGATACTGCGCAGAACTCCCAGGCCTCTGGTAGAGGACCCGAGCTTGAGGATGACACATACCACCCCACGAGGTGTGAGAAAACAGTTTTTTGTTTATATATATATATATATATATATATATATATATATATATATATATATATATCTGACATCATAAATGTCTCTTTCGACTGCTACCAGCACAGTCCAGCAGGTGTAGCCATTTTTCTATCTCATTCATACTGTTTTTCAATGTAGTTCTTTAGGCAAACTGTGTACACAGCACAACATATTACAGCATTGACTGCCTCTCCCTTCTGATGAAGTGGTGTCGGCTTTTCTTTGAACTTCAGCAGTCTGACCTCAACATCTCACGCTGTCTCCCATTTGGAATACACTGTTGCTCCCTTGCTCTGATCACTTCCATCAAAGAATATTTCATTCCATTTGATCCAGCTGACTGGTGTGAAGCTCTCATGAAAGGTGATATGGCTAATTTGTATGTACTCTTCGAACAGCTGGGAGGCCTGTTCCCTCAATTTTGCAGACAGTGTTTTTCCCATGTGTCACACTACTTCAAAATTCTTTAAATGCACTTCTGACTAGAATGGCAAAATTTTGTTTAACAGGTATCACAAGATCTATTTGGTCATACAGGCTGGCTACTTAACTCTGCATTTGTCTTCTAGTCATGGGGTCAGGAATGTTGTCTCTCACATCTTCCACAATGAGATTGGGGCCAATACTCATCTGCTTGGGGAGCTTCTTTGCTGCTCTCCTTTCCACCATTTCATGAAATTGAGCTCCATAAGCCATTCTCCATGGTGGTTATTTCTTGAGTTGCCTCTCTGTTCTTAGAGAAGTTGCCTCCACTCCTGTTGTTGGGTAGAGAGATTGGATCTTCAATCCATGGGCACTTTGTGTCCCAGTATGGTTTGCCACTGTGAGCATCTGCATTGACAGAGGCAAAAAACTTTCTGATGCTTTCTGTCTCTTTTTCTTTGCCTAATGTCATTACCTTGCCTCTAGGCTGTCAGTAACCAAACCTGTATCCTTCATGCTTAGTTCACAGGCTTCTCCAATGCTATCCCATTTCCACCAGTCAAGAAATGATCTGAGCTTTATCACAGGCTGTCTCTGTTCCCTGAAGTGCAGACTTAACCCGATCTTTCCCATACCTGGACCAGAGTTTTTGCCTATTTTTCTGACATTTTCTGGTCATTTATTACATTCCTGTTTTTTATGGTCTTCCTGCACCTGCCTGTTTAGTTTTGCTTTCTCCTCCTCTCCAGCTTCTTCAATATCTGCCAGTAGGCCAGTATGAAAATCATTATTTGTGTCACTGAAACCCCTCGCATAAGAAGTGAGTATCTTCAATTGCTCTTGTAACTCACTCTTGCTCATATTCTCCATGGTCCAGCTCAGGCTTGTTTGGTGGAGGCACACATAGTTCTAGTTATTTGTGATTTTGATGTTTTACTCCCTTCCCAAGAGCTTCTTCCACCATTGTTGCCACTTACATAATACAGCCTCCTTGAGTTCAGGCCTTTAATCCTCATCTCCACTGCAACTGGTTTTCAACTGTTATGTGTAGTTTGATGCTTCAGCTCCAGGCCAAACTTGAAAACTGGCTAGTCATCACCAAGAAAGATGCTAGGAACAAACTCAAATAATTTTTCATTGTGTTTTATTTGTTGAAAATTTTAGTTTAGGTTTGTCAGAGGATTTAGGATTGGGATTTTGGGTTAAAAACCTTTTAAGATTAAATTCAGAAACAGAAATTGAATTAGTTCCATACAAATATTTTTTTTAGCAAATATGCTGGTGGAGATTCTGGTCATAGTCATTCAGTAAAATAAATGTAAGTTTCTGATGACTGAGAGTTTGTGTTCTAGTGGGTGGTGTGAGTCAAAAAGAAGATACTGGTCTGTGTGAGTAGGTTTCCTGTATACTTAAATGTTTAGGCTTCCATCTCCTTCCATGCTCACCAAACAGTCCAGAAAAGGTACTTTGTTGTTGACGAGGGAGCTTTAGACACTTTCAAAGGTAAGTAAGAAGATGCAACCAGTATATTCTTACCAATCATAACAGGCCATGATGCACCATCCCAATTGTCTGTCCTAAATGGTCTGTTGTTGTCATGCAATGTCACAAGGACCAACGTGCTGAGCCTTCAAACCCACAAGACATGTACATCCTCTTTAATGAATGTGGTGAATGTTACCATGGTGACTGGACTATCCCTTCAACTGAAAACATGATGCATTTGGTTTCACTTCCTCTAAACCTCAACAGCTTGAGAGCCAGTTTACTGTTGCTGCTACTTCCCTTTTTCCAGGGAAGTGCAACTCTCATTCAAGTGAAAAGATTTTACCTTTTATCTAACATTATAACATTATAACAAGCATATAAAGTCTTTACATTTAATCAGTTCCCTTTGGATATACTTTTAACATGTGAAAACAGTCATCTCTAGTTCTAGGCTTTCTGAAATAGAGACCAAATTATTATTGCTGATTACAAACTTTAAAACTGTGAAATTCATGTTTGTTTAATAAATGAAGGCGACTTTAAACAGAAATTAGCTCCTTTAATCTCCAGGTCTAATCACAGCCACTAACTCGTGTACCTTCATCTTTCTTGCTCCAAACCACAATGCTCATTCCAAACAGTATTCAAATTCATTACAAGATGATGACATACAAGAATGATTTTTGTAAAATCTGGGACTACATATTTACAAAAGAGACCAGACTTTGCTTATATTTCAAAAAAACATTTATTATAGGATTCCCAATAGCACCTGTGAGAGACACTGCAATCTCCCTATGTTGAAGAACCTATGATGTGTAGCATCCAGTCTCTTCTTCCTATCTCATTCCTTACTGCCAGCACTATTCTGACACCCCTTCTCATGACAAACAGTGACACACAACTGCTTTGGCTAAAGAGTCCTTACCAATTTGAGAGTCACAGACAGAGGCCATGGCCAGTATTTATACTTGTGTGTTCTCATGTGCTTGTGAAACATCATCAGCATCAGCCCAGCCACTGTTCCAATTCACAAGAACGCAAGACAGAGAATGGACGAAGTCCCAGGATGTGGTTCTCGCCCCTCTTTCTTAACTGAGCATGCATCAGAGCAGACTTGTCCATTCTCCAGACTGACAGCTGTTCCAGCATGCACCACGACAGCAGCAACTTCCAGTGGAATGCTCACAGAGCACAGAATATTAACTTAAAAGTTCACTTATCTGCTGCTGCTGTTCTACAAAAACACCAAAAATATGTTTTAAGATAATTTGAGGTGAGATCAGTATACTTTTAAGGTTTACTGATTTAGAGCATAATTCAAAAGAGAGTTTGTTAAGAGGACTGCGGACCTCCGAGGCTAACCACAGCCAGGGCTAACGTTAGCCCATTTGCAGCAGCCCTCTCTCTGCATAGCCGTTTGTGAAGTACAGCTGGCTCTGATGAATTTTTTCAAAAGGGCAGAAAATGGGTTGTACTTCCTGCAGAGGATAAGGAGAGCCCACCTGCCCCCACCCATCCTCCCCACCTTCTCCAGAAGCACCATAGAGAGCGTTCTGACCAGCTGTCTCACTGTGTGGTGTGGAGGCTGCAGCGCCTCAGACTGGAGGAACGTAAGAAGATTGGTGAGAACAGCAGAGAGGATCATCAAGGCTCCACACCCCTCCGTGAAAGACATTACAAATCGAGACTCACCACCACAGTATAAACATCATACTTGTACTTCATGGTGAATCTACAAAATATAACTTAACTTAGTGTTTCTTCTGAATTTTGCACCATATCTATTTATTTTTTCACTGCTCTGAACCCTCCACATTTTGATCACTCCTCCACTTTGACAAAGTGGAGAGATTATTCTGCGTGCTCCCTTTCTCCACGAATCCATACTTTTCGAATGTTCTTGTCAAGAACGTACTTAGTGAGAACACAAGAACATACTCGCATTCTTGTGAATTGAGAAATGGCGAATGACTCGATCTGATGGGTTTCCTTCCAAAGAAAACTTTTAGCTAATCTTTCTGTAGGATTTGATTATTTTGCTCTGTAGAGTTTTTTGTGATGTTAATTTGTGAAATACTAAATTAATAAATAACCGGCTTGAAAAAAAAATAATAACCAGTCTAGTTTTTAGAGAAAGAAGTGTGGACCTGGTTTAACCTTTGGCATGCAAAAAGTTCTTTAAAGAATTACCTCCAACATAATTCTGAATTTTTTTCAAGAATACCTTACGTTGGTGATGCTAACTGACCCAGAACGGGAAGGGTTTGATTTAAAGTCTTTTATCTGTAAATATATCATTTCTGATTTATATGAACAAGTTTTTGAACTAAAGACCATCAGCGGAATATGAACGATGTGTTCTTTATGGTTTTTGATGTACGCAAGTATACTTCAATCAGTTAAAGCTGTTTATGAGTCATAGTCATAATCAACACTGATCCATTAGAATAGTTGGTTCTGGAAATAGTCTAAGTAGTCTGCATTATTGCAGGTTGTATATAAAAGAAAAAAACACATTCTAAACATGTAGACTACAACCAAATTCCATTTTTAAAACATACTAATTATACAGATTAAATTTAGAAAGCATTATTTGGACTCTGTTCAGTAATACTTACAGTTTGGACGAACAAATTCAAAACTCCCACTGTGCTTCATTGGCTGTACAACGTCTGTAAGTGTAGAGGTAAAAATATGAATTATTCTCAAGTTTCCCCAGTTTGAAGAACCCATGCAGAGTATAAAACTAAATCATCTTAATTTTAATTTTGAGACCATAATAAAATGTTATGCAGGCTTTCAGCATATGATGCACATATTGGACACAAATAGAAATTATGAATACTTACAGAATACATTTAATAAAGGAGATCCAAGAAAGGCAAAATTTGAAGTAACAAGGTTTGTTTCGTGTGAAGAACTGAGGACTAAGGACTGAATTTAGCCCCAACAAGTTTGTTAAAGGCCAGACCTTACATTATGTATGTATATATGTAACTCTAGCAAAATTATGCCGAAATACTGCAGATTACACCTGAGGAGCACCAAAGCATTCTTTTTTTTTTCATGAACAATAGGGAATAATTTACAACTTAAGGTTGTCTACATTAAAATATGAGTTCAGGAATGTGCATTTTTATCTTGGTGAGGATAAAATCAATCAAGAATCAGTTTCAAAATACCTTTATTTGTCATTGTTCAAAAAACCATTCAATTTGTTCCAGAACAACCCATCGAAGGGACACAATTCAAGCCCAAACATGGAGAGACAGGTGTCTGGGGCTGCATCCATTGAAAGGTGCTGCCCTTGTTTATAGACAATAAATTACAAACACAGGAGGTAGATAGTAATAAAACATGTAACCTTACACTGTGTGCTTGACAAGTCACATTGTAAGGTTGCCAAGGCAACTTTTGGAAAACCCAGGTCAACCTAGTAATGTTGGAGAAATCCTGCAAGTTATTTCACTCCAAGTTGAACAATGTTTATCATATGACAGATTACCAATAACCATGTGTAAATCTGAAATCAATTTTCTTTTTATTTTATGAAAAATCTTTTTTTAACTGTGTTCACATGTTCCACTAACAAAAATAATTATGTATAATTAAATGTTTCTTGGCTGCTCAGTGTCGCAGTGGGTAGCACTGCTGCCTTGCAACAAGAAGGTTCTGGGTTCGATTCCTGGCCCAGGGTCTCTCTGCATGGAGTTTGCATGTTCTCCCTGGGTACTCTGGGTTCCTCCCACAGTCCAAAAACATGACTGTTAGGTTAATTGGCTTTTCTACAGTCCCCTTGGGTGTGAGTGCGTGTGTGAATGGTTGTTTGTCTCTGTGTTGCTCTGCGATGGACTGGTGACCTGTCAAGGATGGACCCCACCTCTCACCCACTGACAGCTGGAGATAAGCATCAGCACCCCTCGCAACCCCACTTGGGATAAGCGTGCTAGACAATGGATGGATAAATGTTTCTTAGCCCATCAAGTTTTTTAAATTGGTGTAAACTGCTATAACAATATTGAAGTGTGTTAGGGCAGCAGAGGCTAGTTTTCCCAGCATGCACTGGGCAGCATGTTCAGTTTTTGAAGCTGCCAGTCAATGTTATCAATCTTTTCCAGGTTATGAAGTTACATGTTTTATTTGTTACTGTTATGTCTGTTGTATCATTAGTTTCTGTTATAATCTGAAGTGCTTGTTGTCCCACCATGAGTCTGGAAGGTATGTCCGCTAATGACATCTCCTGGTTGTACAGAAAGTGTGTGTGTGTGGTTCAATAAAAGAGAAAGCCTTCCAGAGTCGTGCGGTGTATGGGGCACGGAAGCTACCGCTAAACTGAAGTCTTCTCTGGATAGTTATTGCTGTAGCAACCCATTAATGCTACATTGGTGTCAGAAGTGGGATTCAAGATTGCTGCCACTGTGAGAGAGATTGATGAGCTCATTCAGCAGATAAAAGACATGGAAGGAACATGGCCCAAGAGGAGTTCTGTTTCACATTAATGCTACAATATTAAAATATTCTAACAGAGATACCAAATCATTTGAATCCTATATCCTAATGAAGTCAAAATGTAGAGTTTTGATGTAAAATTTTAAATCCCCATGGACCTTAAGCATCCTTATGTCCTTTGATCTTGGAGGCAGTGATGCAGTCTTCCTCATGCATACTGGAGTGTTTTTACACACCTTTAGGACTGGCTGTTTGCAGCCTTGGCCCACCTCCCCCATGATACACATTCATTGAATTGACTTTGGAACACTGGGCAAATCACTTATGCTGAACCAACACCTGATCCTACAAAGGGATCAACCCGTGGGTCAGCTCTGATCGGGTGTTGGATGATCAACACTCATTGAGAAACTGTGTATTTTCCAGACCTTGGTCTTTTATGTTTTAGTTAAGTGCTTACTTTGTAGTATTTTTTGAAAATCCTGAGTCCAAGAGAGAGAATAGTCATTGTAAACCTTGTATTTTATTTTAAACATGATGGGGCTTCTGCTTTTGTATCTTGTTTATAGAGGATTAGATCAGTTCAGTGAGGCTTTTTGTTGTTGTTGTTTTACTTTCTGTAAGTTAGAATAGTCTCTTCAACATTATGAAATATTTCTGTTTGTATTAATCAGGTCTTGATTCTAGTTGCATATTCTGCAGCTGTTGGCATCTGGAGATGTACCACCTTTCTCCAGCAGAGTGCGCTGTGGGTCTCCTGGGCTGGAGCCCTCCAGCACACCTGATGTTCATCAACCCATCAGGAGACCTGCCTTCTTAAGCAGCAACCAGACCTTCCTTCGACGCCGCAGTGTTGACCTAGTTTGGTTAGCGAACCTGAGCCTCTGTTACCTGAAAGAATCTTTGTTATCTCAAGTGAGAAACCTGATTCTAATCTGCCTCTGTCTTTGCTCACAGGAAACCTGTCTCAAGTCTGAAGCTCTGGATGAGCTTAACCTGCCTGCCAACCCTGGTGAGCCAAACCTGAAGATTCCAATCTGGATTTCTCCTGCTGTTCTCAGAGAAGAGCTGGAAACTCTGATCAAGGTCTGCCATTCAAAGTCAGAAGCTAGACGATGCTGCTGCTTGTGCACTCTGCTGAAACAACAGTCTCTGGACCCAACGTTTCCCTCTCTCACAAGTAAAGCCTGGACTTCTTCAAGGTAGACTCTGAATTATCTAAAGACTCAATTAATCATCTGACTGCCTGGCTAATCAAACTGTCCGTCTCTGCAGACATCAGTGAACCCAACCCGGACCAGTACCTGAACCAGTTCATGTCTTTGTGTGAAAACCTTTTTCAATAAACTCTGTTAAACTTTTACTCAGCCTCCGTTTGTGTTCTGCATGTGGGTTTAGCTTTAAACCAATCATGACAGCAGCTTTCTAAAGTTTACTTTTATAAACCCTCTTAACCAAAAACCTACAAGCTCAAAATATGTATGACTCCTTTATACCTTCCTTTCAAGTAGGGTGTAAAAGTGTCTTTATTTTAAAATAAAGCTAAGTAGAATTGTTTTATTTCAACACTAAGGTCTGATGCTGGTGTGCAACTCTGCTACAGATGCCCGAATAAGAGAAACTGAGCTAAGTTGTTTAATCTCATGTCTGCAGATTGTATCTATTCCTAATCAAATTAAAGTTATGAATAAAATAGAATTAAACGTTTTGTTCAGTTGTGGGGATTAACTAGTTTAAAGAACATTCTTAAAAATGTGTTTTTCAAAATGTATTAATGAACATCATCCTTGCACTCAGAACAGTGGAGAAAGAGTCTTAACTCACCAGGCTCTGCATCTGCCATGCTGTCACCTTGCTTTGGTCACCAGTGGATCCTTTTGAGCTGAAAAGAAAAACTGTAAAGATATTTCTAAACTTGTCAAAGGTGATCAATATTTTAAAGAAAAAAGGCTGCAACTATATGAAGAACTTGCTGAGTTGATGTTTGTGATCAATTATGTCCCGCAGAAAAATCTAATGGAAATCAAACACTTGCGTATTTTACTTCAAAATTCTGAGAACATGTTGTTTCATGTCAGTTACTGTCACCTACATTCTAATGAGTCTCCCAACTCAAATCCTTTAAAGAAAACTCTTTTCCACACACCAAAACAATTAGGAATGTCCCATTTAAGTTATTCTTTTTCATTTCTGATACCAATATTGCATCTTTGAGAATTCAGCAATACCAATATTGACCATATAAAATACTAGCACAAATTATAAATGCTTTATTCTAGATTAAATATTTCTTTATTTCTAAAGTTTATAGAAAATAGTTCTTCCATCTGCAGAATATTGCAAAAATTTGAAATCTCTTGTCCAGGGGTGATGCTGAGAAACTAGTCCATGCATTTGTTACTTCAAGGCTGGACTATTGTAATTCTTTGCTATCAGGAAGTCCACAAGCTGTAGTTAAAAGCCTTCAGCTGATCCAAAATGCTGCAGCCAGAGTTTTGAGGAAAATTAGAAAGAGAAATCCTATCCGTCATATCCTAGCCTCCCTTCATTGTACTCCTGTTAAAGCCAGAATATATTTTAAATTTCTCCTTCTTACATATAAAGGCTTACATGACCAAGCTCCATCTTATATATTTGTCGATTTCCTGATAGTAAAGAATTACAATAGTCCAGCCTTGAAGTAACAAATGCACAGACTAGTTTCTCAGCATCACCCCTGGACAGGAAATTTCTAATTTTTGCAATATTCCTCAGATGAAAGAAGGAAATTCTAGAAACCTCTTTGATATGGGATTAAAATGACAGGTCCTGATCAAAAAACAACAGGATTTTTTACTTTATTATCTGAAATCAGTTTGATCCCATCCAAATGAATGACTGGCTAATCAGCTTCTTTTTCAAAGACTCTGGTCCAAATACTAAGCAGAAAGTTAAGTCCAGGTTTTTTATGTCTTCAAGACATGCCTGTAATCTATGTTAGCTTAATCTGGATTATAGACAGATATATCTGGGTATCATCAGCATAACAGTGGAAATTAATCCCATGCTGTCTGACAACTCTAGCGATTGGAAGCATATATATAGTAAAGAGAATTGGTCCTAGCAATGATCCCTATGGTACTCCACAGGTAACCTTTGAGCACGAGGAAGATTTGTCATTAAGGTGAACAAACTGAAACTGATTAGATAGATAAGATTTAAACCAGTCTAGTGCTGTTCCTTTAATTACAACAAAATATTCAAGTCTTTCTAAAAGAATATTATGATCAACTGTACCAAATGCAGCACTAAGATCCAACAGGACGAGCACAGATACAAATCCATTATCTGAGTCCATGAAAATATCATTAGTGACTTTCACCAGAGCTGTTTCAGTGCTATGATGAGCTCTAAAGCCAGACTGAAACTCTTCAAAAAGTTCATATGGCGTAAGTGATCGCACACTTGTTTTGCAACTACTTTCTCAAGAATTTTAGATAAGAAAGGAAGATTGGATATAGGTCTATAATTGACCAAGTCATCTGGGTCAAGAGACGGTTTCTGAATTAAAGGTTTAATTACAGCAACCTTAAAAGCCTTTGGTACATCAGAATAAGAATCAGAATCAGAAATACTTGAATAATCCCAGAGGGAAATTACTTTACATGTACATATCCCTTTAACAGAGATAGATTAATCACATCTAAAATAACCTGGTTTGAACTGGATCTAACATACAGTACAAGTTGAAGGCTTAGATCAGGCAACCCCAAAGTCGGTACTCGAGGGCCGCTGTCCTGCATATTTTAGAGGTTTCCCTGCTTTAGCACAGCTGATTATGATGATTGCCGTTGAGCAAAAGCCTGTTAATCAGCTTTCAATTAAAACCAGCTGTGCTGGAGCAGGAAAACCTCTAAAACCTCCAGGACAGCGGCCCTCGAGGACCGACTTTAGGGATGCCTGGCTTAGATGAAGACAATAGTTTTGCCAGCTCTAAAAGTTCAACTGGATCAAAGCAGTCTAAATCCAGTTAAGATTCCATGACTACCTCAGATGCTGCCTCACCTTCCAGAGATAAGCCAATCATAGTTAGAAGAGTGCTAAGGATCTTATTTTTAATAAGATCAATTTTATTTTTAAAGAGTCGCATAAAATCTGCTAAGATTTTATGGGATGCTCTTAGCAGAATTACTGTTAAGAGTAGGTGGGATGGACGGTTCAACAGAGCTATTGCTCCGGGTGAGTTTGGCAACTGTATTAAAAAGATATCTAGGATTATTTTTATTCTACTCTATTAATGACAATTGAATTAGAATCTTGAGTTCCAATGGGGTAAAATGATAATGGCTTTTCATATTTGTTACACACATGCTCAACTCTGAATGGACCTACTTAGAATTGATTAAATCAACTCAAAGAAGTCTTTGTAAAATAAAATAAAAACTCTTGAGTCTGAGTTTCTTAAACCTCCTTTGTGAAATGTGTCTCCAACTACTCACTGTGATAACCAAAATACATAAATTCTTAAATATTTGTAATCATTGCTTTGTATCTTTTTCTGTTGAACAGGTGTTTTATGAAAGATTGTTTTATGGACCTTGTCTCCCTCTGGTTTGGTTAATTAATCTGTAAAACCCCTCTTAGCTGATTTGTTGTATTAAAAATAGAATGTTGATCAACTGATTTACTATCTGACAATTTTTTTTGTACTCAAAATGTAATTTACATTTATTGAATGTAAAAACATGTTTAATTGCTGATAATAGTCATACATTTATTTTTATTGGTTTCTATTTTAAGTAGTTTTCTCTTCAAAGCTGAACTGGTTCAGATGGAATTTTTTTGCACGTACTGCTCAGGAATCAAGTTACAGGAATGTCTTTTAGGGTGTGGCTTGACTGATAAACTCATTAGTTTGCTGATATTAAATAAGAATCCTAAAAAAGACTGTGATAGTTTCACTCTGAATTTTCAAACAGGTAGAATAAAAGATTAAACCATTTTGCTATCAAAACAACATTCCGCTTTTTTTGTCTACTTTAAGTAGCCCTAACTTGTTTGTCCTCTAATAAAAAAAGCACATTAAGATCCATTTCTACCCACAGTCTGGGTTTACATAAATTCTGAAGATGTTTCTAATTTTGGAGGAAAATACATTCTGATGTTTAATGACAACAAAATATAAAAAAGACTCACCTTTATCTTTGCTCAGTCGACAACAGGTTCAAAGCTTACTGAGCCACTGGATCGACACATACCTGAAAATGAAAGTATTTCATGCTCCCTCAGATGAAACAAAAAAAGAGAAACAGGATAATCCTGATCTGGTGAAGCAGAGAAGGAGGAGTTTTTCTCTGTAACAGAAGAGGAAGCTTTCACTGTTAAGATAAATAAGAGAAGAGAATAATAAAAGTCCTAAATGTCTGTGTGCTTTGGGATTCTACATCAATGGTGTAACAACACAACAGTAGGCCCGTAGGCAACATTATCTTGGTGGGCCCCATATGAAGTACAACACCCCACCTCGTCGCCGCTGCTGCCATAGACAACCGACCCGAAATGTGCCCCATACATACACATTTAATCATTTCATCATTCTTCACCTTCACTCGACATGGATATACTTTAGTATATTCTGCTGTAATATGAGTCTTATCGGGCTACCTTGAGTTTCACAGCCCTCCTTCTCACCCACACTCTCTCCATTCGTCCCCTGTCACAATCTTCACTCAATGTAGCAGCAATGTCTACCATTCTCTCTTTGGTTCTTTGAAAGAACATTTTTATTTTGGGAAGTTTTTTCCATTCTTCCAGCAGCTCTTCTTTCCTTTTTCTTTTCTGGAGTACCTCTTTTTGGTATCTATTGTCGCTAACACATTGAATGTAACGGTTATGGTTTTAATCAACGCACTAGGTTACTCATAATTCCAAGTCTTACTGTAAAAATAAAATACTGAAATTCATTGTTCTTTTAAGATCTTTATTGCGGTTTGAAACGGCTCACCATCATGTTGAAATTTGCCATGTGTTGGGGTATAAAAAAGGTCTGATCAGGTAACGTAGTATCAGGTGGGTTTAAGAGGAATTTTCGGCACCGTTACATCTGCGGACAAGAGACGTCCTAGTCTACAATTGCGTAGGGGGCCTATCAGGTCTCAGTGACGGGGCCCCTAAGAGGTCGGGGGGCCATAAGCAACTGCATACTCTGCTTACCCATAGCGAAGTGAGGGAGACAGGAGACAGGTTAGAATCAGGAATCAAAAACATCAGGTACAGAGATCTGTCGAAAGGATGGAGGCCTAAGCGTACCACAACGGTTTAACACTGTGGCATCCTTCAGCTGACTGAACACTCCTCTGAAGCTGCGTTCACATCGAACGCAGCAGGAGCCGCCGGAGCAGCTAGTTTACAAGCAAAGTCAATGGTTGACGCTCATCAAGGCTCAGTAAATGGTCCCGTCCCATGGTTCATGCGGCGCGTCGAGCAGAAAAAGTTAAATTTTTCCATCTCGAGATGGAAAAATTTTACTTTTGCTGCTCGACACGCCGCATGAACCAATCAGAGAAGTTGATCTTGTCATGGTTGGTTTTCGAATCAAACCCACATGCAGAACACCACTTGGAGACTGATAAAAAAGTTCAACAGAGTTTATTAAAAGTTGCACAAAGATAACATGAACTGGATTCAGGTAAACTGGTCCGGGCAGGATTCTCAGGCATCTGCAGAGACGGATAGTTTGATTAGCCAGGTTAACAGATGATTCGTTGCTTTTCAGAAGTTTCTGAGAATACCTTGAAGAGGTCCAGGCTTTCCTTTCTGAGAGGGGGAACCGGTTGGGTCCAGAGACTGTTGGTTCAGCAGAGTGCTCAGCAGCAGCAG